GTGGTGATAACCGCATGCAGTAGGTTCACATGCAGTTGAGATACCGTGAACAGGCAGCTACCGCATCAATAGCTGGAGAAAGGACGGTGCCTTGCTCATGGGAGACTGCCCTCCCACCTGTGGTATGGACATGTTGAAGCGATGGTAGTGTGGTATTACATGCAGTAGCTTACCATAGTTTGCCAGTAGAATTGGGGCAATCAGCAAGCTGACAGATGCTGGGACTCGCGGCTTGCCGGGGACGGAGGTGTACATAGGTAGATATGCTCCATTGCGATGAGCTCGAGCATCAACTCATCCGCGAGCCCTGCCCGTCCGCTCCTAGACTGCACATGACTGGCAAGGCACATGTTAGCTTGTTGTCTCTCTCCAATAACCGAAGCGGGCAACATCTGGGACAATTCCATTTCAAGATCCCGGATGTCCACCGACGAGGGGTGTGAGCTCTTGGCATATATCGTAAGTGCAAGGCCGAATAAGCGTGCGTTGACAGGCGAGCTGGTGTCACCAGACTACTACTTCACAGGTGCCGTGTTCTTGTACAGGTGCCTTGTTCTTGTATGGAGGACCCAGAGTCACAGTGCTGTAGAATGGTTTCGAGATGAGACGCCTTGCAATGTTGCCGATTCCTTGGAAATTTCCTGCGGATCGATCTATGCATCAAGTAAAGGTAGTCAGAGGCTGCTTCGAACAAATGCCACCTCTGGACGGGTATAGGCCGCCTGCACGCGGGTAGCTGCTCGCGTTGTGGCCGGTGACTGGCGGCATAGACGGGGAAGAGCCCTGTGATATCCAGTGGTGGCGTCTGGAGCTAAAGAACACCCGTGGATTGGCTACGCGGGTGTAGGTGGTCGCCGCGCGTTTCCACTCCAGGGTCCCAGAAACGGGTCGTGCTTGTGAATAGAGGGGAGACTTGGCGACGATGGCGGCCGCGGCTCGCCTTGGGAGGGTGGCACCCCTTGCGATGGCACCCGGATCGATTGGGCGCAAAGGTGGAACAGTGCTTGGGGGGAGACAAGAACCTGGCTCAAGAACCTGGCTCAAGAACCTGGCTTGGGCGCAGCACATCGTGCAGGCAGTCCTCGTAGTAATAGCAGTAATAGCGTTGACTGACAGGTCCGGGACCCGAACACGGCGCCCGAAGTGCTCTTGACAAATTGGCAAAGAGTTTCTTTCCAAAGAGATGCCCTTGCTGGTCTGATCCATAACAAGCTGGAACTGCTAACATCAGCATGGCATCACCGGCTTGGCAACGGGGCGGCATCGTGTACATTGAGATGCATCGGCAGGGTGGAAGAGGCGATGAAACCGTAGCAGAAGAAGAGCCAAAGCAAACCTTGAAGCTTCATCAAGGAGAGAACGGAAGAGGTGCGAGTGTCATCATTGGGAGTGATGTGGTGTTTTGCAGGATGCCGGAGCGGGGAAACCTCAAGCACAGGCAGGAACGGAGAAGACGCTCTTCTCTGTTTGCTGGTTGGTTGGGCAAGGCAGGAAGGAGCCATGGCGATGCTCGAAGTGACGCGAGGCCTTCTTTTCTCATGCTGTTGGGACCGTAGCTGCAGGTGCGAGCACGTTTTTAGTCCTCGTGCATGCCAAGTTTAGTAAGGTACCTAACAAACGAGAGCTTTAACTGGCAGTTGCTGGAGTAGCGTATGACGCTGTCACCTGCTGGATACCAACATTGGCCGCAGCAGCAGTAGCGTGGGGACAAGTACTCGGCAGGTTACAGCGCCTCAGACCGAAGAATTGGGGACCAGGCAATCTCCATGATGCTATTTCGAGACTTTGCCCACCAGATCCCCCCCCTGCTTCATTCCTCGGATGACGATGGGAGGAGAGATTCGCAAGTTCTTACTCATGGTCGAGGTGAGTAACAGTGCTACCTCTACGGATGGTGCTACCCTCCCACCGGCACAGGTACGCTGCACCAAGCACACGAGAAGGTACCTGGTAGATGCCTACCTATCCCGTCATCATCGTGCCTCGACTTATACTGACGGCGCAGTTGCGGGAAGCCAGGAACAATCGCGAGTTTCTCTGCCTGGCGGCATTATCCTCAGCCCTTCCCCGGTGCGCTGATGTCGACGACAAGAACGCTAGAAGACGGGCCAGGCGGCTTGGAAGATGGACTGGCAAGAGACCTGCGCCGTCGAGGTTCCGCGCTGCTGCGCTCACTCCCTCCTCTACGCAGCATGCAGTCTGTGGTTCTGTGGTAACCGAGAGAGCGGAGCCGCGGCAACACCGCTTGTTACTGCGGTCACACCTCTCTCCACCCCGGGCGAATCGTGCGCGCTGCTTGCTGCGAAACCTGCTGCGGCCTCGCGCTCGAATCTTGTCAGTGGAGGACCTCTGCGAAGCTTAGCACAGCAGCACAGGGTGGGGGGAGACGTTGGCCAAACCGCCGGACATGCCACGGCTGGACCCCCTTGTTATCCGCTGCCAGCTAACTTGTATGGATGTACCCGTACGCTGGAGCGAGGATGCCAGACTCGATGTTGCGCCCAGCGCCGGCTCTGGGGGTGCCCGAAGCCCTTTGTCCTCTGCTGGTTAGTGATTGGGAAGCTGATGAGCCACAGGCCTGCGTAACTACCCAGTGGGCATCCCGACAACAGCCAAGATGCATTTGCCGTTCTTGTTCTGTGATGTCTCTGCCAAGACAGATGATATCCTAGAGACCCTCTGGGGCACGCCCACGCCCCTTGGTCGCGGAACACCGCTCCCTTGGACCTCCGTGGCTGCCATTGCGCGTAACCGAAAACTGCCGCCTCTGGGATTGCATATCCGTCTGGCTGGCCTGGGTCTCACAGTGGCCATCGCATCACACCCTCGTCCGTGGAGTTCGGAGGGCTCCTGGGGCATCCACTCACACTTGCGCCTTCGCGCGCATGCACGCACACACTTCTGCCCTGCTCCAAGCACAGGCGCACCTACAGAGGTACGCAGTATACGCAGTACCAGGTACCTCGTACTGACCGGGTAGCGCAATTTAGCAAGCTTCCATCGCCGTGATGTGGCTTTGGGCTGAGGACCAGGCGCTCTCGCGGATTGCCACATGCGATGACAGCCAGGTACCAGGGAGCTAGGATCAAGGTTGCTTGGTGTGGGCTAGCAGCGCTGCTACGTGCAACGGGCGATTGTCGCTCTGGGAGAGGTGTTGGCGCACTTGTTTGGGACCCGGTCAGAAGCGCCGCCTATTAGCTCCCATGCCTCGATGGCCCAAGTATTGGCTGCGACGCCTTCTCCATTTGCCGGACTGCGCTCTCTGTGTGCACTCACACCAAGGTACGGTGCCTGGTCGTCGAACGCGAGGAGGGGGGTGTGGTCCTGGGTTGAGGTGAGCGATCGACTGTCGGCATCACTACTCCTCTGGATTGCTCGGGGACTTGACCGTTTCCCAGGCCATGGCAGCTATCCATGGGAAGGACCCATCATGTGCGTCCTTTTGAAGCCCCATCCGCTATTAGTACACCGGACCTTGGGATGCACGCACGCACGCACGCACGCACTTCGAAGTATGGCCATTGGCCGTCCTGTTGGCAGTGAAAGGACGTCAGTCACTTCATGTATCTGGTACGAACAGTACTTTGCATAGGCGTCAAAAGAGCCGCTTTCTCTAGGTGCATTTCGGTACATTCCCGGACCTCTATTGGACGTGGAGCCCGCGTGTGTTTCTCGCCTCGAGGTTCGACGACCATATCTGCATCTCCTTTCCCCTCAGCCCGCATGTCACAGACGTCCCCAAAGCTGATCCGCAAGGCCTTACCCTCCTCCTCCCCTTTCTTCTCCCCTCCTTTGCCTCCTCCCCTTTGCCTCCTCTCAGACGGTACATGGTGGCTGCAGTGCATTACGAAGTTGCTGGTATTGTCCTGTTGGCCACACTGCCACTCTCCTCCGCGTGCTCGCCTTAACCGCCGCAGGTGCTCTGGCTCGGTCTGGGCTGGTCTGTTGGAACCAAATCAACCTGTTGTCATCTGTCGCTGGCGATAGATTATTACACAAGAATCGTTCCTTACTCCGATTTTCTTCACCATTGCAGCAAGCATCGCACGGCCGATTAATTACGAAGTTCCCCATTCTCGGGGTACAGGTACTCACACGCCTCCACGTCGTTCCCGTGCTGAACTGGCCACCCCCCCTTGACTAGCAGGCGCAGCATAATCGCGCGTGTAAAGGAAAAAAAAAAAAAAAAAAAAGAGGAAAAAGAAAAGAAGCTACCTAAGCCCCCCAAGCGCGACCTGAGAAACTTCGACCCCCCAGCTCTTCCGCCTCGACACCTTCTCTCACCTCCATCTCGGCTGCTCCTCGACAACATCTGCACAGCAAAGATCCTCTGTGCTCGACCTCGTCGACACGATTTGCGCACCTTGTTCGTCGCCCTGCGTCAGCCAAGTCACGACGAGTAACCAGAGGGCACCTGAAGGGCGAGGCTCCGTCTCCCGAGCTGCATTGGACTCACTGGCTGGCTCCGATTTGCTCGCTCACTCATTCGTTTGCGCGTGGCTCGCGCTTCCGCCAGCGCTGGCAACGGCCAGTCCCGCACACAGTTTACCGCTGCAACGGCAACGAAGCCCTGGGCTATCGACCAAGGCATCGACGAGTCTGGGATTCATCGCCGCGCGCTTTCTTAATCTTTGTTTACCCTTGCTGGAGTCTGGATCTCACTGCGCAACGTCGTCTGCCCAGACTTCACTCGGCTCAGTCTCACTTGCGCAGCTTTTGGTAGAGCTTAGCGCGGTGACTTAATAGCACGGCAGCCGTCATCTTGCGAACTTCCATACTCCAAAGCCTCGCTTTCATTGAGAACTTCCTCTATTGTCTGAGCCAGATTGCAACACCAGTCACCGTCATCATCAGCATCGGGCTAAACACGCCGTATTCGGCCAAGAGAAGCTGGCCGCGAGGGGCTGATCGTTGCAGGAACTGTCGCATCCTCGCCTCTTGTGTTCAGTGTGCCGCATAGTCATTGAGTGCTATACTGCCACTGAACATTCCTACTCAAAATGTCTACATTCACTGCTCTCAATGGCGCCCCCTCAAAGTTGACCGAGTCTCCCGCGGCGCCGGCAGATCAGAGCTCATCTCCTGGTGAGCGTCTTGCTGGTTCAGTAATAGCCACCTCGGCGCCAGCGGCCGCTGAGATGCCAACAACTTCGTCATCTCAAAGGGAATCGTGGACACCTCAAAGTGCGGAGAGGACCATACACGTTGCAACCTATCCCCCGGAAATCGAAGGGTCACATAAGCGTAAGCGATCGGTATCCGTTGAGATCCGGAGAGAGCTCCCAGCACAGGAGCGTACCCCAGATACTGCAACGGCTCCGCCGCACAACGAGGCCCGCGATCACTATGGTACGCCCCAGAGAGACTACCGGTCCTATGGTGATGAGCAGCGAGAACGCGACAAGGAAATGTGGTACTCGCACTCGTCTCGAGATGAGAGGAACCCCTACGAGACCCAGCAGAACTCGGCAATATCGACCCAAAGCAACACAGAAGAGCAACTTGGAGAAGCGTTGAGGCGAGCTGCAGGCCAGATGGACCACAGCGATTACACTAACACGAGCCCCGATGGCGATGATCGATCAGTGTCCCTGTACGGTGGCTCATATACCGACCACAGAGGAGACTCGATGCTCCAGCACGATCCCAAGAAGCGAAAGCGTAACTTTAGCAATCGCACGAAGACTGGCTGCCTTACATGCCGCAGGAGGAAGAAGAAATGCGACGAGCAGAAGCCTGAGTGTAAGTTTATGCCCCCCCCCCCCTGAGGCGCCATGTACTTTCCAGTCGTGTGTGAACGCTGCTCTAACGGAGTCTAACAGGCAGTAACTGCATCCGCGGTGCGTTTGTATGTGCCGGCTACCCTCCACAGAGAGGGCCAGGCTGGCAGAAGCCGGACAACAAGGCCGCCGCAGTCCCGCTTGAGTCCAAAGACCCCAGCTACGTGCCGCCCGGTGCGTATGGCATGCCGCAGCCTCACCCGCAGCCTCACCCACAGCCTCACCCGCAAACACAATCGCAGCCGCCTCCGCCTCCAGCGTCGGTGCCTGGCCCAGGGCCAGCGCCGGCGCCAGCTCCCTACGCCCCTCACGCCCCCCAGCCTGTGAAACGGGAGTCGTTGAACCATTACCGCGGCCAGCCTCTCCGAATTGACCCCCCTCAAAGCCGGCCAGTGATTATTCCAGATGACGATCGGCCAACGGCGTCGACCATCCCCAGTGCATCCGTGGCGAGTCCCGACAACAAGCTCTCTGCGCTGCCGTATACGCCCGCCAACGTCTTCCCCACGCCCGTGAGCGCAAACACTCAGGCACCACCCTTTGGGGAGAGGACGGCAAAGGAGTACCAGCGCGTGCCCCCGCTGCATGATTTGAGCCGGACCGAGCCCGAAACACCCCATCCGGGCAACCAACTGCCGCAGATCAACATTCTGCATCCGACGAGGACAAATAGCCCGACTCCTCGCCCACAGCCTCCTGCAACCTCAAACGCGCAGATGGCTGCACAGCTCGCGCTTTCTCACTCGCAATTTCCTCTGCGACGGACTCAAAAGGAGGAGATGCTTTCGGGAAGGCACTTTTACCCGTTTGATAAAGAGCTTTGCCTTGAGCGGGAGCGATGCGCTGCCGCCTGCTGGAGATTCAACAACCTCACGACGCCCCCGACAAACGGCGTCTCTCCCGAAGAGCGAGCGCGCTTGTTCCTCGAGATCCTGCAGCCCCGAGACCCTGTCCGCGTGTCTCCCATCGAGGCGTCTCCGGTGACCAACGTTGGACGGGTTGGTCGTCATGTTGCCGTCGAAACTCCCTTTGTCTGCGATTATGGCTATAACATCTCCATTGGCAACGACGTTGTCATTGGCCGAAACTGCACCATCAACGACGTCTGCGAGGTCAAGATCGGGGACAACTGTGTCCTCGGGCCAAATGTCAGCATCTTTACCGCCTCCTTACCCATTGATCCTAAGAAACGTCAAGGGGGGCAGGGGCCGCAGCAAGGCAGACCTATTGTCATTGAGCAGGATTGCTGGATCGGTGGCGGTGCCATCATCTTGCCCGGCCGGACCATTGGCAAGGGAAGCACCGTCGGAGCAGGATCTATCGTTACCAAGGTATGTTGTGCCCCCCTTTGCCCAAGCATGTGGAAACGGACAGTGCCAGTGCTAACAGTAACTCGCCTTGCAGGATGTGCCCCCCTTCACGATAGTGGCTGGAAATCCAGCACGTGTCCTTCGCGGCATTGCGTCTTAATACTTCTAATACCTGGGCCTTGTGCTTTCCCTGGAGAGCGTGCTTTTGCATCTCGTGTTGTGATACCCAAGCGAGCGCGTATAGTGGAAGCTTGTGTGCGTGCGTGCATGCGTGCATGCGTGCGTGCGTACAACTGCGCGACTTTGTTCCAGATTTTTGTTCTGCCACCCGTTTCTCGTTTTCTCGTTCGTCTTTCCTTTTCTTTTGTTGTCATTGCTGTGCGCCAATTCATTTTGTGTCATTACCGGAGGAACAAGAAAGCAAAAGTTTGTGTGGGCGATTACGCTTAATGATATTGATTTGTACGTGGAACCTCGCGGGACACACGTGGGATTGGATATGGATCTTGGGGAGAGGCAAACTCATTTGGAATGGAATAGCTGGGCTGGACTTGGCTCGGACTGGTTTATACAAGAGGGCCCTCGGCTGAGGGGAGTGCGGGATGGAGTGCGTTGGGGTTCTGCTTAGCGATTGCTTCTCTGCTTTATTGCTCTTGGCTGGGTCATCTTGTGCCCGTCGTTGGATGTGGTGAACAGATAGATATTTAATTGGGAGACGATTAATATGACTGGCTTGCGTGGATACGCTGTTGAGATTGCTCTCTTTTCAAAGTCTACTATGTGATCTTTCTTTGTGTAGCAGTACTGTATCAGTCTTGCAGAGGGTTGGAGCATTGCACCCAAGGTAGAAGAGGGTAAGACGAGGGTGCATGGCGAGCTTCGATTCCATTCTCCATTAACCCTCTGTTCGCGTATGGTCGGTATTGGATGAAATGTGACCCAGGAACGATGAGCCTAGTATACAAGATGGGATGCCATCGAGTATAGTCTACCTTCTGAACAGGTCCAGGGGTAGGCATACCGTGAGCAGAGAATTCGCTTGTAGCAAAACTGATTCATTTACGTGCCATTTCTTGTTTCCATTTCGTCTTGAGGATGATCAGAAGCTACTGTCGGGATAGGTCTGCCTCCAGAGTCCGGGATCTGATTGAATGTATTGATCGAGACAACTCTGTTTCGTTTGAAGGGCGACGAGTATGATTAGTATAGTATGTTGAACGAGGCTAGGCGTTTCAAGAGATAAAGGGGGGGAGGGGGTTCACGAACCCAATCGAGCATGTCGATATTGTCAAACATATCCTCAAAGTTTGGCATTGTAAAGTTTATGTCCTGGTCCAGGAGTGTCTCGTCTGTGGTTGAATTGCACATTTCGTTGTTACTCAGGGGCAGCATCTGCTGCTGAGTTGCGCGGTCTGGGCAAGCGTTGACAGCACCAGGAGCGCTATCGAGGTTGTTCGCCAAAGGCAAGTTTTGGCTGTGGATGATGATGATGGGGTCGGAGTGGTCGATGCGGTTGAGGATGGCGCGGAGGACGCGCGAGGCGTGGAGGGCGTCGGCGGAGGTGGTGCTGCGGGCGGACCAGATGGCGGAGGCGCTGCGGAGGGTGGCGATGCGCTTGAGTCTGTCTCTGGAGCTGGATGATGGGGAGCAAGAGTAAGAGGGGTCAGTGTGTTGGTTTCGACTGGGATAGGATGGCAGCGATCCAGGGGTCAGGGGGAGGGGAGATGGGGGAGGCTCACTCTATGTCTGCGGACTCGCTGAGGTCGATGCAGATGATCATTGCCGCGAGTAAGAAGTGATGCAAAGTCAAGTTCGACACCATGAATCTATCTTTGTACATTCTCCCACCCGGTGCCGTCTCTACGTCAAGTTCCGCCTGAATTTCCAGTATCTTGAGTGCCGACTCCCTGCATATCTGTCTCGAGGCGTTGTACGCTGGGTCGTTCTTGTGCGAAGTGAGGTAAGGGCGGTTCAGTATACACAAGCTTTTGAGGTACATGAGCTCGAGCATCAGACGGTGCATGATGGTGTAATTGGGATCCGTAAAGGCAGTGTCGCGAATGGTCCGGATGCGCAGACACGGCGGCACGGAGTCGTGCCACTCGTCCAGCTCCCGGTTAAGAGCGAGCGTCTCGGCGTACGGAGCCGGCGACACGGCGAGGACGTGGCGCACGACGCGGCGCATGACGGCGCAGAGCTGAGACTTGACGATGTAGGCGAGGATGGGGTGGGGATCGGTGGGTGTGCGAGGCGGCGGCAGGGAGACGCAGTCCTCGTCAAAGTCGTCGTCGAGGAGGTTCGAGGGATGGCGGACGTCGCAGGTGTCCTCTGCGATGATGGGCGGCATGCCGTTCTGGAAGGAGAAGAGCAGGTCCGTCGACTGGACGATGAACCAGGTCCTGCGGCGCATCTCGGCCTCGAAGGGCGTCATGGCTTTGATACCGGCGGCGGAGGAGGAGGAGGAGGAGGAGGCGCCGCGGTGATAGCCCTGCTTCTGGGCCAGCCGGGCGGCCAGCCCGTAGAGCGACCACAGGGACGAGTCCGAATCGAGCTTCTGGACGTTGCGCGAGTGGGCGTGCATGAGGAGGGCTTCGACGGAGAGGCGCCTGTTGCCGTCGAGGTACCGGCCGGCGAGGAGGCACTGGGCGGACTTGGCCATGTAGAAGCGCGAGCTTGGTGCTGACGATGACGACGGTGAAGATGTTGATATTGATGTGGAGGAGGAGGAGGATGAGGCGGAAGACGGCGAAGCCCTTGTGTTGGCGACCATTGTGCCGATGCTGAGGATGGAGAAGAGGATGCTGATCCAGAGGAAGCTCGCGGACGGGGGATCGGCCCAGAAGGCGTCGTACCGGCGCTTGAAGTGATGTGTGTGGACGAAGATGGCGGTGACGAACTTGGCCTCGAAGTAGGCCAGGATGAGCCTGTCGGCGTCTTTCCGCGATGGCAAGCTGTCCACGACGTCTTTGATGGTGATGGGCGGCACGGCGCCCAGCAGCAGTTCCGGCTCCGGCTCCGGCTCCGGCCCCGGCCCCGGCGATGCTCCTCGGGCCTTTCCGTCGGCCGCGAGGATGTCCTGAATGTCGCGGATGCTCTCGACCAGCGCCGTCCAGGACGTTGCCCCGTGAAAGTCCGTCTCCGTCTCATCTCTGCCTCGCCAGTTCCCGTCCTCCTTGCCGCTGCTGCTCGTCTTCTCCTCGGCCAGCCCTCGCACCATCTGCTCCAGCTGGTCGAGCTTCCTCTGCATGTCTCTCTTCTTACGACTACTACCACTACTACTACCACCATCACCATCACCCGTGCCGTTCCTCTCTTTATCAGATAGTACCGCCAGTGAAGACGACGCATTTGCCCCCCCGTACGAGCACGAATCGCCGCAGCCGCGCTTCTCGCAGGCGCCGCACGGGTGCTGGCGATCGCATCGCGACTTGCGCCGCTGGCAGGCCGTGCAGGAGACGGTTTGGCGGCAGCGCCTGACGCGGTGGGCGTCGGAGGCGCGGAAGACGGAGGTGAATTGCGCGATGCCGGGATCGGGCATCAGGGGCTTTGATGGATATGTTGAAGGTTGCTGTGGGTGAGACTGTGACGGTTGGAGAGGCTGATGATGTTGTGGTCGTTAGTAGTAATGACAATTGGGCTCTCAAGAGATGGTGAGATGACGCGCGCACTTCTCTTGTATGTGAATGAAACAAGAGCAATTTGACCCGTGTAAAGGAGTCAGGAAGGTGTTGCAGGATGACTATCTTATGAAGGCTGCTTGACAGGATGAACGGTGAGGGTATGATATTTGAGGTAGAGCAGTAAAGTCCGAAGTCCGAAACTATGAAAGATGGGCGAGCCACCTCACTTTGACAACCAACTGTAGTTGACACGAGACGGAGCAATGGGCTGGCATGAGCAGACAACGATTAGAAATCACTAATACTCTTGTTCAAAGTCTGTTATTCTGCAGAAGCGAGTACACGTTCTATAAGTCAACAATTGTCAACACCAGAAGCCTCTAATAACCGCCCGTCGACTCCGTACTCTATGGTATCATATCGTTTCGCCGTAATACATGTATCCAAACAAGAGAGATATCTCCAAAAAAAAAGATGATTGCAACAGAAATGAGAAGTGTACAATCCGCAATCGCGTTATCCATACAAATCCTCGCCCACAATCTTTTGTCTATTCACGTCAATAATGCCCTCCATCAGCTCCAGCGCCCGTGCCTGGTTCTTGAGCTTGCCAAACGCCTTGAAAGTGAACAAGTCGGGCTTGAAACCTGCTGCCTCCATGTCCTGTAGGGTAGACACCGTCTTCTTGATGTTCTGCATCGACGCATAGCCCTTTGTGAGGGTATTCCACGTCACGAGGTTTGGCTCGACGCCCTGCTCCTTCATCACATGCAGGACTTGCTCTGCCAGAATCCGGTCGCCACTGTTGAATAGACCACGCACAAGGATGCTGAATGTGCACAACCCGGGTGCTGGATGAATTGGGCCCGTGGCACGGCTTTGGCCTTCGTCAGACCTCTCGTCGCTTCTTTCCGCATCGCCAGTGGCACTTCTTTGCAGGTGATCCTTCAGCATGTCTCCGAAAATCTGCAGCGCAGCCCGTGCCAGTCCTCGTCTTTCCATCATGGCCATGATGATGGTGTCATGGACCAGGCTGCCTTGGTCTTTGATGAGCTGAGCGGCGAAGCCTTCTTTCCCTCCTTGCTCTTCAAGCCGAGCTTTGAAAAAGGCATAGAACGCCATGAGATCATATGGGTGCTGGAGGGTCTTGATGTAAGCCCGCAGCATGATGGCTATTGTTGTTGTGTTGGGCTGCAGCTTCGGCCCGCTACTCTGGGATTCGAATGTCTTCTCGGTGAGAGGGACGATGCTTCCCAAAAAGTCCCATTGTCGAACCCGAGTGCTGTCAAACTTTTCGCCGTCGTTACCCGTCGTCTGCGTTAGCATCAGAGGCAGTGAGTCGGGCAGCCACCATTGCAGTGGCTCCAGCTCGAATTTCTTCGCGTACGCTCGCAGCATGGGGCCGAACAGGGGATAGATCCAGGGGGCAGAGAACCTCTTTTCGCGGGACTCCATCTCTGCGAAGTAGAAGATGGCGTGGAGGGCATTGTTAAGCACATCCACATAGGGCGCATTGGCCGCTTTGGCAACATCCAGGCTCTTTGCCACGTTCTCGACTTTGAGGCTTCCCTTGGCGCCCCTGAAGATGGTTGACCACGCCTTTGTGTCAAGCTGGACCCCGGACTCGGAAAACAGCAGCGCAAGCCGTATCGCCTCTTCGACTTCGGCCCGTTGACAAAGGGAGTCGAGAAAGGCAGTAGCGTTGATGACATTGGGCACGAAGCCTCTGTCTAGAAAGTATTCAAGAGTGTCCTTGGGCGAGAAGGACGAGCTGCTGTCTGACCAGCCACCGTGAGCGATCCGGCAATGCAGCAGAGTCGTGATCGCGCTGGAGGGACTGGGTGCATTGAGATCTATCCCATTGTCGGCGAGCCCCTTCAAGATCTCAAACGCCGTATCTTTATGTGCCATGTCGCTGGCTAATTTGCCCGCAAATTGCAGCAGCGAATTGGGATGCAGCTTGATGTTGGCCCTCTGCAGCATCTTGTACAGTTCGCTGGCCTGCTCGCTTGGTAGTCTGCGGGCAAGGAGGCCAGCTGTTCGTTGGCCAAGCGGCACATGGCCGGCAGGCGTATCTTCAAGGACTTTGGCCACCAATTCCAGTATTTCCTCTGCCTTGAGAGTCCTCTCGCGTAAATTCTTGATGCTGCTAATGCGCAAGCGCTGCGCAACGAAGAGGAGCACATCGTTGATGGCATACCCAGGCGGTAGCGGATCCAGCGTCGCTTCCAGCACCATGTGTGCTTTGTCTGGGCAGCGATCCAGCGTTGAAAGCATAATGTAGGGCCACTGCTTCTGGCGACTTTCGATATCGAGGGCTTCCCATGCTTTCTGCATGCTCCTGGCGTTGCTGAGCTCGAAGAGCCACTTCGCATTGTCGCGCCATGGCCACGGCAACTTTGGCTCTTGTGGCTTGTCTGGCCTTGAAACTTGCAGAAACTTGGTCTTCCAGAATGTGAATGCCTTCCGGGCGGACCGTCGTTCGGAGTCCGAGTAGCGATGTCGAATGTAGCCCCATTGCAAATGCATCGCTCGCAGACTCTTCAACTCTCTGTAGGCCCTTTGCGCCGCCTCGTCTAATTTCGCCGAGGCTTCCTCCGCAGCAGTGAATCTGTTTGCGGGCTGCACAGGCACAGGGGGACGATTCAGCCTTCCATGTGTGATCATATAGCGCCTCTTTCCAACAAATTGAGGCCGCTTCGGAGCGGAATAAGACCCTTCTTTAGGCCGTCCATGATTCGAGTCCGACTGTTGTTGCTGCATGCTATTGCTTCCTGATCGTGCGGCATGATGTCTCGAACGATGACCCCGTGAGCGGTTACTGCCGTCGTCCTGATTGGGAGTTGTCGCGGGGACGGTAGATGCCCTGATCGCTTCTGGTGAACTTAAAGAAGAGGCGAGATGTTGCGGTTTCGGAGGGGAAGTGCCATTCTCGAAAGGCGAAATAGTCGCCAGTGGTGTGCTCTGCGCTACAGAGCTCAGCTGCCGTAACGGAAGCCTCGGGGCGAAGTGAAGCCTCGATCGAAGAAGATTGCCGGCTGTGGAAGACATCGTAGAGCACCTGAGCTTCAGGGAGCCGGCGCGGGCGAAGGGGGCCGCTGGCATTGCAAGAGAACAGGGGCCGGCACGCGGCCAGCAGTCGGCATGATGCTCTTCTGCGAGTCGCGGCTCCTGGGATCGGTCGATCGTGGTAAGAGAGTCCTGGCGATGATTGTAAGTGTGTGGTTGGTTGAGGCTCTCGAGGCTATCGCAGAGAAATAATTTCGGCGCCAATTGACTCCCCCAGTTGGCTTAGCCGCTAACGAAAACCCACGCGAGCCTTGTACCGACGTACCGCGTGCCCCACTAGCGAAGCTCGAATTCGCTTTTCCATACCCACCGAACGATTCGCGAACAAAGCATCTCGAGATTGCGGTTGAAGCCGACATACAGAAGCATCTCGCGTTGCAATTCCACTCTGCTACATACGATGAACTCCCACAACAGCCTCAGCGCCGCCGCAGACGAGCGGAAAGCGCGTCTCGCAAAGCTCAAGACCCTCAAGCGGAAACAGCCCGTCGACGAGGTCGCCACTCCAGAAGGCGACAGAGACGCATCACCAGCCGCAGCCGCAGCCGCAGCCGCAACAGCAGAAGAAAACGACGTAGCGACGCGGCACCTCTCCGGCCGCAACTATGACCCCGAGACGAGAGGCCCCAAGCTTGGCTTCGACGCGCCGCCGACGCTCGGGCTGGAAAAGCCCACGCTGGAGGAGCAGGCCGCAGAGGTCGAGGCAGAGGTCAGGGAAAAGGCAGCCGAGGAGGCGCGGGACGACAAGGGCCTGGATCTCTTCAAGCTGCAGCCCAAGAAGCCGAACTGGGACCTGAAGCGGAATCTGGAGAAGAAGCTGGAAGTGCTCAATGTGCGGACGGATAATGCGATTGCGAAGCTGGTGAGGGAGCGAGTCCAGAGTGCTCAAAAGGCCGCCCAAAAGAAGGAGGACGTCGACAATGGCAACCTGGATGGAGATGCTGCTGGCGTGGATGGCGTCGCGCTTGTGGAGGGACTCAGGGTTCGCGAACAGGAGGAGCAAGAGGAAGAAGAGAGAGAGCGTCAGGAAGAGGAGGCACTTGGTCTGTGAAGAGGAGGGGAAAAAGACGATGGGAAGGACATTTGGGTGTGCTGTATGTAATCACTTCGTTATGCGCTCGCCGTTGCATGGGCTGGAGTTTTTGGTTTTCCTTTCTTTAGACATTATGGCCTATATCCTCTACACACGGCCAGAATAAGATACCCAAATCATCCTCATCTTCCGCCCATGTTCATAGACTGGGTTAGTGCTAATCGTTTGCTGAAGGGGCTCAGGCTCCGCTCTCGGGGCGCCTCTTTGTGAGCCTCTCTGGGGGTCTCACTGGGCGGTGCCCGTCCCTGCCCTCCATAACGACCTCCTCGATGGCCGCCGCGCGGGGCGTTGTGATCGTCTCGGCTCCGATAAGGCCGGCCATCCTGCTGTGGCGAACGCGAACGCGAATCTCCCCTATCGCGTCGCCTACCATGTCGTCGGTCTGGCTCCTCATCACGCTGATACCGTCGCCGAGGGGGTGAGACATCGTCTCTTCGGCCAGAAGAAGATTCTCTGTGTCGCCTCCTCTCGCCTCGCTGAGAGCCCTCGCGCGAAGGAGAGGGACTGTCGCGTGATACTGAACGCCGCTCCCGTCGCGGCGGTGATGGACTTCGGCTGTAGCTGCGATCACTGGCTGACTCTGGACTGTATCCCCGTCGCTTGGGCGGCGTGGGAGACCTGGTTCTTCGCCTTGGTGATGGAGAGCGGGAATCCCTCGAGGCGCCTGTTGAGATGGTTGAGACTGAATGCGAAGAAACTGATCTCTGGCGCCTAGAACCCGCGTCTGACAGCTCGTCTTCGCGCTCTTCAAGCTTTCGTTTCCTCTCTCGCTCGGCCTCTAGTTTGGCGAGCTCCTCATCCGCAACACCCTTCCTGTGACGACATCAGATACTGCTTCTTCAGTCTTGCCTACCTAGTAGCAAGTCTGCATGCCACTTACTTCTTCTCAAGGGGGTTTGGGGTATCGCTCGTCAGCTTGGGGACGAGCTTGGGATTGCGTAGCTGCTGTGAACGCGACGGGCGAGAGACGTATGGCCGTTCTTGCGCCGGCGCTTTGCACTCATATGAGTAATGCCGTGCTGAGTGAGTCAGTCGATGAGTCTCCATAGACGTGTCAAGCCGGGGCATCTTCATGGCAAGGTAAGGCAATACATATCTCGTTTCAAGCATTTCTGACACTGGACATTGGCCGGCGTCGCCCGGCTGGGCCCTCCGCGGCCTCTGTGAGCGAACATGATGGATTCCGAGATTACGGGTTTCCGAAGGGTTCTGAGAAGGCAGATGGCCGTCTTTGGTGACGCGAAACAAGGCGATTCAGGGCGGTGGACAAGTGCTCAGGTGGCGATTCCAGCATGTCTGAGTCTCAAGTCTGGGTTGGCACTGGAATTGGTTCCAGGTACGAACGCTCCAAGGTACCCGGACAGTAAATCCGTACTGGGTACGCTGCAGCTAGCCTGGCACGTCCAAACGGGATTTACAGGGCATTACAGCGGGCGAGCCCGACCATGGCCCACGAGCCAGCCTCAGACCGCCTAAGCCCTCACGTGATTTGCTGGGTGTCAATTCTGCGTTTTGATACATCAAACACTTACTGTAGCTGACTACCTACCTAGGTAGGTTCCTGGTTGGGCTGCGATGAAAGAGGAGCTACCTAGACTGTACCTAAGGCAACGCATGATGCCGCTTGATGTAGTCGTACTTGAGAAGAAATCAAGGATGAAAGTCATTTGAGGACTCTTCCCGGAGTTGGATTATGAACTTCCAACTGTCATTCCCTTAGTAGGTATACCTTAGTCGTGAGGCACGGTATCTTGACCAGGCAACCCACCCGGTACTTCCAGAATTCCCACCGCCTACGTGCAGTTTCCAGCACCGCCTTCAGCTCAGCGCCTGCCTTACATAAGCCACACACACTTTCCAGCGCTCCAGGGACTCGCTCTGGCGCTCTGCCGGCGGCACTAAGACATTCTGAGCTCCCTCTCGAGATTTGTAACTGCAGATTCTCCTCCAGAGCCCCGTCGTCCTCGCATCGCGATGACATCGGCCTGAACTGCGTAAGGCGCCCACATCTGCGTGCTGTTGCTCGTCAAGCCTTGTGCCACAGGCTCTGGGGAAGCCACCAACCGCCGTGCTCGTGAGTCCTCTCGCTGCCCCGGACACGCAAAGCCCAGCAAAAGCCACAGGCCACCCCTCTCAGGGATACGCTTCCCATGTCATTGGAACACCCCTCCACAAGAACCTGAGAGTCCTGCAACACCACCAATGGGCCGACTGCCTCTTTGCGCGCAACGGGCTGATTGACTGACTCTTGCTCCAGGCTGCGACGTGAATCCAATCCAACCCGCCAGTCCGCCTCTTCGGCCCGCCGACCGACGCTGAGAAAACGCTTCAACTCGGCTCGTTTCGCCTTGCCCGTCCGCCAAGACATTGATTGACCAGCTGCCGCCAGCAATGTTCTTCCTACGACGACAATGAGCACCTGCGCCCTGTTCTTGATCTCCTGGCTTGTTCCCATCCATTCTGCTTCTTGATCTTTGCCTTGTCATACGGTCTTTCCCGCCCACTCTTCGTTTCATCTCCGTCGACCCGTCGGGCGCTTTTTGGATTGCGGCGCCCATCGTCGAATAGAGCCTTCTGTGCTCAGCCTCGTTTCCCGCCCTGTTGTACATCAACCATTGGCTTCGAATAAGCGGTCTCGAGGCTGCGAACACCCATCGCAATGGCGACAGTCTCTTCTGATCCACCAAAACGCTCCTTTGCAGATGTAAGTTGTTTCCGCGCTGTACTTTTGTCGCTCCAGGCAGCATCTGTTTGTAGGGACATCCTGGGGACTGACCGATATTCTTCATGCATACAGATCGCTGCGTCTGTAGCGACAGGAGACTCCACGGGTCCATCCGCAAGCCGATCGACAATGCAGTCAAAGGACCACTCAGCCGCCAGTACAACTTCAGTGGCTGGCAAGCCCACCTCGCCCTCGCCGCAACAGGTCTCCTCTGCGCGATCGTCCAAGCCAGTGCATGCTTGGTCTGATGAGGAGTTGACGGAAGAGTTTGCGAAACTGCTCAAGGACCATCCTGACGCACTCCCCGGGGATTTGGCCCCATCGCCCTCCAACGTATGGCCGGCGAAATTGAAGTCTGGGAAGACGATCGCATCTTCTACCAATCCCAGGCAGGGGTCCAAATCAACAGAAAATCCCTCGGGTCACTCTACAAGCCAACCGACTATGCAGTCCACGAATGGCTTACCAGAAAGTTCAGCATCGCCGACTGGCAAGCCTACGGAGTCTTCGTCGCCGCCAGTCTCATCCTCGCAGTCGCCTGGCTCGCCAACACATGCTGCTCCTGGAGAAGAGGTAACCAAGGGTGTGACAAAGATCGCTGCTGGCAAATCTGAAGGTGCCAACCACGGGGCCGCCGGAGCCCAAGCTGTCAACTCATCTGCTGCCGTCCGATCTTTGGTCTTTAGCCGGGCGAGCGGCTCAGACGATTCTCAAAAGGCTGATTCCAGCTCGGATCTGGGCACCAAACCCCCTAGTCTCGATGGTAAAAGTATCACTTCCGGTACCACTTTTGCTCTTGATGAAAAGGAGTCTCTCCGTCCCGATGACAGCGCTAGTGTCAAGGCTGCTGCCGAGGATGACGACTCTTTCTCGATCCGAGGGTCTCTGATTGCTGGGTCTCGGATGAGTTCAGATTTCGCCGCCAGAACCAGAGGTATTCAGCTAGGCGATATGCCGGAGCGCCAATTGGTGCAACCAGTGGTCGAAGCCCACGGGCAAGGCATCCTCACGCCTCAAAGCACATCGTCTGAGCAGCCTCCTCAGGATTCCTTGAGGAGCACAGGCGGATCATCAGATGCCTTGAATGTTATTTACAGACAAGCTCCCGATGATAAACTCCTGGAGGCCCTAGCGGCTCCCAGAGACAGACTTTTCCTGCTGAGATTGGAGAAGGATGTCATTGATTTCGTACAGGATTCCAAGTATGTGATACACCCATTCGACAGCCCCTATTTTCCTCTACGAGAGTTATAGCTAACCACGTCTAAGGGAGCCATATATCGATCTTCCTCCGTCAAACTCGTTCTGTAGAATGCTAACTCATAAGCTGGCTGATTACTACCACATGACGCATTCTTACGAGCGGAATCTTGGTGCTGTTCGCATCTTCAGGACGCCCTTTTGCCGAGTACCGCCCTCTTTGGCCACAATGGTTCCGCAAACCACTGTTGTGGTTAGCAGCACTCCCCCCCCAGCAGTTCTCCCCAGGAAGATCATGCGCCGAGGACAGGATGAGGAGGGCGGTGCCGCTAGCACAGGGGCATCCAAGGCCACCTCTGAGATTGGGAGCGAATCAAAGGACAAGCAGCCGCTAGCAGCTCAAAAGTATATCACCGCTTGCGCACTCACGGAAACGCGATGAGTTTACTAATTCTTCCTTGCAGGCTGTCTCGAGAAGAGCGAGAAGAGATCTACAAGGTGGTTCGACAACGAATCTTTGGCAGCACCGAAGACACAACATCCGGTGAGTTATGATTGCCCCTCGACTGACCGATCGAGGATTGGAAGCTGACTGGTTGCATCAGAAGTCGACGGCGAAACTGGCATATCCCGGACGAGCTCCGTTTCCGCCAATAGGTCCTCTACCAGTAAAAAGGGAAAGACACCTATCAAACAGCGACGGGACGATGATGCCGATGGTTTCGACTCCAGACGCCAGTATGCCCCTTACTGGGGCTCTCAGCAACAAACATGGGTTTCTCAAGCGCCCAACCAGTATATGCCTCAGGCCAGCGCGCAGTTTACTCCTCAGCCTGCCCCGTCTTATCCTGCTCAGGTGGCGCCCATGTATGGCCAGCAGCCCGGATATCCTGCTGTGCAAGGAATGGCATCGAATGCAGCTCCGCAGTATCAGGTTCCTGCCCAGGTACGTTAGGATTGCGTTTCCGAAGCTGATACTATCAGGTAGCTGGGAGAAACTGACAGTGGAGTACTAGCAGTATGCGCCGCAGCCCGTTCAGCAACGATACCCTCCAAACGCAAGCCCAATGACAGCGTATGGCTCGCCGATCCTACCCGGCGCCCTCCCTTCGCAAAACTGGCAACCCGGCTTCAGTCCGGCCCCTTACCCGCCCCGGGGCCCTACGCCCAGCGGCCCTCACTCACAGAATGGCATCCCCTACCCATTCGGCCAACTGCCGGCCAACACCAACCCTCACGATCCCAAGAGCCAGCACCCAATTCCTGGAAGCTACAATAGGAACCATGCTTTCAATCCAAAGACTCAATCTTTTGTGCCGGGATCGAACGGCATGCCGCCGCCACCGATGCAGCCTCCCCACCCGCCCTTTACGGCCCCGGGCTCTCACCACAGCAGCCCTCAGATCGGGACTCCTCATCTGGCGTACGGTGGCTATCCACCGGCGATGCCTCCTCATCCGTACGCCGGTGGGTATAACATGGCTCGGCAGGGTTCAAACAGCTCCATTGCCGCCTATCACACTCCGCCAACCCTTGTCGCCCACCACGTCCAGCAGCTGCCGACGATGCAAAGCCTGCAACACATACCACCACCCCAGCATCTATCCCAGGGCCCGCAGGCACATGCTCTGGGACGAGCAAACATCCCTCAAGGACCGAACCAAATGTTTAGTAGTAGTCACTTACCTACATACGGCAATCCCGCCTCACTGCCGCAGAAACCGGCCACTGGAATTTAATGAGCATCTTACGGCGTTTGCCCGCAGAAATGAGAAAGCGTCTACTCTTTTTTTCTTGTATGACCTTGTTTTCTACTCTTTTCCTTGTACTCGGGCGCAACCTTTCTTCTGATGCTGATGGGTATTGGAACATGGGGCAGCCTCTTTATCGGATCTCAAGCATTTCTATAGACTTTATGGAGCAATCGAGACAATGACACCCATATTGAATCTGACGTCCGGCTTTCTTTTTTAAACATGTGCGCCACATATCTAGGCCACTCAACGGGCGATGGAATTCTCTGCGAAGCTATGTCCCGAGTCAAACAATGAGAGAACTCATGCCTTGCGTCCTCCTCCTCCACAGTCAACAAACAACTATCCGCCCTTGACTTGACTTGATAATTTCCTCTTCCTAACCCAGTGGAGTAAACCGCATGTCAAGAACCGTATATCCATCCAGAATCAGTTCTTCAGCAAATTCGCCAACCGCTCCTCAATGTCGCTCCTCACAATCCCCATGATGGACTCATCCAGCAGCTCCCCATTCTTCTCCACCGCGCCCCTCCTGACGCCCTCGAGCGTGAAGCCGGCCTTCTTCAGGACGGCCTTGCTGGCCTCGTTGCGGTCGTACGCCATGGCCTCGATGCGGTTGAGCCGGGGCCAGGTCGCAAAGGCCCAGGGGACGAGGGCCTTGACGAGCTCGGTGGCGTAGCCTTTTCCCCAGGCGGACGGGGTGAACCAGTAGCCGAGTTCCCAGGTGCGGTAGTAGACGTCGCCTTTTTGTTCGAGGCCTGCGCCGCCTATGAGGAGGGGGGGCTGCAGGTGTTGCTGCTGCTGCTGCTGAACTGAGTCGGGTGGTGACGCTGCTTCTGCTGTTGCTGCTGCTGCTGCTGATGATGTTGCTGTTGAGGTTGGGTCGAAGTTGTTGTTGTTGTTGTTGAGGGAGCCTTGTTTGAGGAGAATGGCTACGGCACTGGGATATGCCTCCTCAGAGACGACGTAGTTCCTGAGATAGTGCTCGGCGTCGGACAGGGTGTAGGGCATGGGGAAGCGGTCGCGCAGGTTGAGCGTGATGGACGGGTGGTTTGCGGCTTTGGCGAGGGCGGGGGCGTCGGAGGAAGGGTCCCAGCGGCGGATGATGAGGTTGGTCGTTTCGAGGAGGATTGTGCCGGGCTTGTTGCTGGGGAGGGACGGGGAGGAGAGGGTTCTGTCAGGGGACATTTTTGGTTTTTTTTTTTTCTTTTCTTTGGTGTTTTGGTGTTGTTGGTGGGATGGTGGGATTGATGGGGAGTTGTGTTTTATATGGTGGTTATTATGGCTATGGTTATTGTTGGGTTGGAGTAAAAGAGAGGGAGAGAGACCTGGGTTGGGAGTGAGAGGGCAATTTGAGGGTTTATATAGATTTTGTCAAAGAGGGTAGCATATATATCTAGGTAGGTAGGTAGCCTGATACGACATCGTTTATACATGAGGTTGGAGAGGGGGACGATGTGAAGCGGCATGAGTCAAAGGAAGGATTCCGCGCTAAGTACCTAACCTCATCAGCAACCCATGCCGGGGGCTGATGACCAACGCAACCATATCCGTAGCTTCATCAAAAGGACCCTTAGTTTTCTATCTAGGTAGTTTCCAGTTACGGCAGTCCAGACATTACTCTGCCTCGTATATAACGTAAAACATCATGATGCAACTTGTTCAAAACAGACGATAGTATAAGTCACACCCCTTTTTAAGCTCCGTTGCGGTAAACCTGCGCTCCCTGGTTTCTAAACATTATTGTATCCCTCCGTTGCAGCAGCATCAGCGCGCGATTCAATGCCTGTTCAGAATATCCCTTGCCTTCCACCATCTCCCTCCGTAGTGTGGCCAGGCTGGTACTCCATCCGATGGGCAACCGCCGCTTGAGCTCAGCCTCGAGGCGGCTCACCTCATCGTTCATTTCGCGGCTGCCTTGGTTGCTGCCCTGGTTGACTGCGTCCATGGTTGAGCACAGGAAGAGACGGATGGCCTCGTCGACGTGTGCTTCAGTGGCAATCGGGGACAGGGTCAATTTGGCGAGGGATTCAGTGATTCGGACAATGGCTTCGAGTTGACGGACTGTGATGGGGATGGAGGATCGTGTGTTGGCTTCAATCTCGGCGGCGTGGACTTGTCGTCGGATGGAGACGAAGTGAGAGGACAGCTTCTCGGCGGCCTCGGGACTGAGTCGAGGTGCGCATCGACTTTGATTTATATGTTAGCGAGACTGCAAATGCAGGGTGGGGGAGTGCACTCACGTTTTGCAGTACGTAATGTATCGCCGCATCTTTTGAATGGGAATCTCGGACTCGGCTACGTCCTCAGCACCACGGCCATCCATATGGATGCCCATGACGTGTTTTGCCATCCTCTCGTCCTTTTCCCGTGTGTGCTCATCCTTGACGATGAAAATCATGTCGAAACGAGACAAGATAGTTGTCTGGAAGTCAATGTTCTCGCCGGGCGTCTTCATATCGTCGTAGCGTCCAAAGATAGGGTTGGCAGCCGCAAGCACAGATGTCCGAGCATTGAGGATGGTTGTAATACCAGCCTTGGCAATTGATATCGTCTGCTGTTCCATGGCTTCGTGGATGGCCACTCGGTCCTCGTCTCGCATCTTGTCAAACTCGTCAATGCACACAACACCTCCATCGGCGAGCACCATGGCACCACCTTCCAGATAGAACTCTCTCGTCGACTGATCTCGCTGGACAGAGGCCGTCAGACCAGCGGCTGATGAGCCCTTTCCGGAGGTGTAGATGGAGATAGGAGCTGCTTTCTCGACGAACTTGAGCAGTTGCGACTTGGCGGTACCAGGGTCACCGAGAAGCAGCACGTTGATGTCGCCTCTTAATCTCATGCCGTCGGGCAAGATCTTCTTTGACCCGCCGAGCAACAGACAGAGGATGGCCTTTTTGATGTCTCGGTTGCCGTAGATGGACGGCGCAATGCAGTCCGCCATGATGTTGTAGAGGTCCGGCCGTCTGCTCAGCTCCAGAAATTCCTGCTCTTCCTCTTCTGAGAACGTGGCGTTTCCCTTGGCAGCCTGGTCAATGTCGGTTTGGATGCCCACGGCTCGCAGGTATGGTGTTCGAATGGCAACTGCGCCACCCGTTGACGAATTCTTGGACGCTTTGTTCTGGTAAATAGAAAAAATGCCCATCACAGTACACCGAGAGCCTGGGACTACTCGGTTTGTGAGATATCTATCAGCGGTGATGAGCACATGTCGGGGCAGCTCTCCCACAGGGACCTGGTCTGGAGCCTCTTGGAGCTTGATAACCTGCTGATCGACAAATCGACACTTTTCGTGGACGACAAAGTATGGGTCGAGCGGACACTGTGGTGTGGGATCGTGGGGAATGCGTTTCCGCGCGCATTGCCTGGGCAGTGTGACGCCTGTGAAACCGCCGAGGATAGGGAGAGCCTGGGAATGGCTGCAATTTCTGCACTGAATATGCAGCTCGGTTGCCTTGGAGGACATGACTGAAGCGCCAATGACAATCCCAGGAACGCGGACCATCCGGGCTATCGTCATGGAATCGAGGTTGCGAATCGACACGTCGTCCGCATCGGAGTGTAGGAGAAGCTGGTGGTCGGGGAGATGGACGGTTTTCTCGTGGGGGAACACGACACGATGCGTGCATTTTTTCAATGCTGCTTCAAACTAGAAGGACACAATCATCAATCATGATAGTTTTCCCCAGGGCTGCAAGAAATGGCACTCACAAGGGGAATGATTTCGGCTGGCTCTGTGATGAGTTTGTGTGCCAGCTCCTCGTTGAAGCTGATGAGGTCCTTGATGTCAACATCGCAGTAGAATTTCTTGAGCAGCGCGTTTTCTTTCAGCTGGTCTCTGCACTGAGGCGTTAGTCTGGATGTCTGGATGCCTCTGTCATCTTTCGTGGAATAGCTGTGGCATTACCGATAGACGAAATTGTTGTCGATTCGAAAGTCGAGGATGAACGTCTCGAGCTGGGACTGCAGCTGCAGGCGGGTGTCGTCGGCATCGCCAAAGTTGGACTCGTACACGCGAGTCGAGTAGACAGACTGACGATCCATGATGCTGTCCCGAGTTCCTGTAGACGGCGTAAATTAGGTGTAGAGGTGTAGATATCCCGGCTTTCCCCTTGAATATCGTCAGTCAGTCAGAACCCAACCAGCAACTGCTTGGATCAGGTACGAAAGAATTGGCGGGGCAAATCTGGCTACTAAATGGACGCGCTGGAAGACGCGAAAGACGCGTTTAGTGGTTGCAGCAGGGTCGCGCCACGGCTGGAAAGGGTCTAGCGCATCTTCTGTTTCAACAGGTGTATCACGTGTGTCTCGGCAGAACTCCGGAGGATTTAGAAGCTCAGCTGTACGAGTACGAGTTAGTCTACAGTACCTACCTCAGTACATGGCAGCAACTTGCTTGCTGACAGCAGCCAGCTTACCTTATCTGATGGCATGCGCCTTGACGGACTCTCCAGCTGGCTAGGTAATGGACAATCCGCCGCAGCATCTTCATCTCCTCCCCGTTTCTCCTCGTTTGTTCTTGGTCGATCCAGCGTCCGTCTTTCTCCGTGCTTTCTTACCAGCGATGATACCCCGGTAGCCTCTTCGTATGCTCCATTCAATCCCCCGCAGAATCCACGTCGGCAGCGCTGCTCCTCGTTGTGCTTAGCCACCCTCAGCCCGAGCTGCCACTCTCCTCTGCATCCTCCACCATCCATTGCGCCAGCCATGTATTCGTCCCCCATAGCCGGCAGATCGGTCGACAACCTGGCGCCACTATCTCCTCCAGGCCGGGCCGACTATCCCTTCCACAGGTGGGCATTTCATCCAGAGCTTCGCGGGGAGGAGCCCGCCGGTAGCTGACGGCAGATGCAGCAGCCGAATAGCCCAGGGCCATGGGCGTCCGCACTCGAGGAGGAGCTCCACGGCCAGTTCGATCCATTCAATAGGAGGGACTCTGGACACGTCGCTGAGCAGCGGCTCTGCCGTGTACGAGTCTGGCCAGAATGGTATGTTGAGCCGCACTCGGAGCAAGGCAACGCTAGCTAATTGAGGCGCTATAGCCATCTCGACGCTGCTGCAGCCCCCTATTGTGCGAACAGGCCTCCAGCCTCACACCTCGGCGCCAGCCTCGAGCTCCCATAAGCCTCCCACCGCCAGAGATATCCCGCCCGTCACATTGACCAACATACCCCAGATTGACCCCGAGGAGTTCGCGCCGTATCTCTCCCAGATCGGCGCCTTGTATGACCAGCTTCGCAGGGTTAAAGAAAGCGAGGAGGAGGAAAATGCGCTCCGAAGGGGCAGCAGGCCAGAAGAACAGACTGAAGCCGCCAGCGAAGGCCTCTTGCGACCGGCTGCCAGAGGCCGTCTCCCCCGCAAAGGCTCGACGGCATCCCTGTCATCCATCACTTCAGTAGATACGGTTAGCTCACTGCGGAGGCCGCCAGGACTCAGTCGCAAGTCTGCGCAGGGGCCTCCTCCGCTATCGACGATCCCCCCGGTCTACTTCGACGAGGACTTTCATCTTGAGAACCCTAGGACTTTCGATGTTGTCAGCGAACGATCCGAAGTCATACAGAAGCATAAAGATGAAGGAAATGGGAACGCTGTGGCGCCAAGGAAAACATTGGCGACGAATGCAATTCTACAAGAGAAGCTGTCATGGTACATGGACACCATTGAGATACACCTGATTAACTCCATCTCGACCGCATCGACGACGTTCTTCACTGCCCTTGGGTCACTGAAGGAGCTTCACTCCGAGGCAGCGGACTCGGTACAACGAATCAAGGCGCTGAGAAAGGAACTCGAGGCATTGGACGAGAGAGTGGCGGCAAACGGCCTGATGATGGTCCAGAAGCAACGACGGCAGGAGAACCTCCGACAGCTCAGCGATGCCGTCTGGCAGCTGAGGTTGATCACCGAAGGCGTGGCGAATTGCGAGTCTCTCGTTGATGCTGGTGAGGTGGACAAGGCATTGGCTAGCATCGACTCGTTGGAACTGTTGATAGCGGGCGAGCGCGAGGGATCCAGTGAGCAAAGCGAGATGCCCAAGTTGAGAGATCTCCGATCTGCTTCGGCTCTACAGGGAGTGAATTCGGACCTAACCCAGCTCCGCTTCCGCATCGGCAAGGCATACGAGTCCCAGTTCTCCTCGATGCTCTTGTCCGACGTTCGCCAGCATCTTGAATCCGTCTCATCAGCCGACGTCCTTCTCCGATGGAGCAATGCAGCGCCAAAGGCAAGGGGAAACCCCCTCAGATCGCCGTCGGTCTTTCCTACGTACCTGGCGGGTACGGACACGTTGAAAGCGCAGCTGATGTCAGTCATGCGCGGCCTGCATGGCGCAAAGCACATTGCAGTTGCTGCGACCGCTTATCGCGAAGATATCCTGCGCGAAATCAGGAATCTGATCCGCCGACCTCTGCCCAGCTCCAATGACGATGATAACATGTCCATGATGTCCATCTCTACTGCAAGCGGTGGCAGACATCTGTCAAGTCAGGAGAAGTCTGCGAACCTGGCCCGTAACCTGCGAGCGTTGGATCCAGAAGATGCAGAGGCACTTCTGACGAGGATATACATTAGTGTGACGGAGACGTTGAGGCGCGTGTCGACTCAGGTCAAGGTCCTGCTGGATATTGCGAGTTCCCTCTCAGACCAGCCCAATGGCGATGGGCTCAAGTCGCCGCCGATGCGGTCTCCCTTGCCTAGCCCTCGGTCTGACAGACAGATGAGCATGCCGCAGCCGTCGGCGTTTGCCATTCAAGAAGAGCTTCACAAAGCCATCGACCTGGGGAACTTGCTAGCCCAAGCTGTGGACCTTGCCAACGAGAAGATTGTCAAGATTCTCAAGGTCCGCTCAGAGCAAGCAATTCACCTCCCTCTCGACTTGTTCCTGCGGTACTTCAACCTAAATCTCTACTTCACCTACGAATGCGAAGCGATATCCGGGAGGAGCTGCTCTGCCCTGAAGACGGTGGTTAACAGCCACATCAAGGAATTTGTGCAAAAGTATCGCGACGCCGAAATGCAGAAGCTTGCGCAGGGGATGGAATCCGACCAATGGGGAGCCAAGGATTTCACCGACGAGAACACTCTGCTCCTGAATCAGATTCTGGAGTGCAGCACACAAGATATCGAAGCTTGGACTGTGAGCAGTAGGATATGGATTCCTTATGAGAGTCCAAAGAAGCTGAACTCGGACGGTGGCGCGTCAGAAACAAATGGCGCCAGCAAAGAAAAAGTTCGAAATGCGGTCATCGAGTCCGAGAAGTTTGTGCTTCCGAACTCTGCGGTGTTGTGCCTTGACGGCATGGGAGACTTCCTGAAGCTCATTGCCGGGATTCCCTCCATGACGACGGAGATTGCAACATCCCTAGTGGCATACCTACAGCTCTTCAACTCCCGGAGCTTTCAGCTCATCCTGGGAGCGGGTGCCACTCGGTCAGCTGGCCTGAAGAACATCACGACGAGACATTTGGCCCTTGCTTCCCAGGCGCTAGTATTCATAGCCACCTTGATCCCCCATGTGAGAGAGTTCGTTCGCCGCCAGGCAGGATCGGGGTCAAATGTGTCCAGCCTTATGGGAGAGTTTGACAAGGTCCGACGATTGCTTCAAGAGCACCAGGACAGCATCCATCAGAAATTGATCGAAATTATGAGTGGCCGCGCTGTCAATCATGCAAAGAGCATTCGAGCCATCAACTGGGACTCTGACACCTCCGAGGGGCCTCATCCGTACATTGAGATGCTTGTCAAGGAGACAACGACGCTCCATCGAGTGTTGACAAAACACCTTCCTGAAACGTCTATCCAGGTCATCATGGTGCCGGTATTTGCAAGTTACAAGAACCAGCTAGGAGAGGCCCTGCGGCAAGCAGCCGTGTCAACGCAGGCTGGTCAACGACGGTACGTAGTTCAAGCGAGCCTTTGCTTTTGGAGCTCTTCTTCTAACATGGTGTCTACAGCATGATCCAAGATGTCGACGTCTTCATCAACAAGCTGCAAAAGGTTGACGGGTTTGGCGATGCTGGCGAATATCTCACCAACATTGTCAAGTCAAAAAAGGTTGAGGCGGATTCACCTCCGGCACCTGCTCCTGCAACCACAGCCGCAACCACAACCACAACTACGGCAACAACTAATGGGACAGACGAAGCCAAGACTACGGACGTGGAACAGGAGAAGAAGACATCCTCGGAGGGGGCCTCCCAGGAGTGAGAACTCACCTTTGGGTTGCTTTACATCATCTACCAGATGGTTTTTTGCTTTCACGACAGACGCGGGATCAATAGATGGGAGTTTGTGGCTGCTTTTCGAGTTGCAGTTGTTGGATTTGTATACTACTGTTATGAGAGACAAAGGACCGACGGATGGATGTCGGTCCGTGTCCTGTACATATGACAATGTGGGCGATACTGAATAGTGTCAAAAACCCCCTTTTCTCCTCGGTACTAGTAACCTACCTCTTGTCTCTCACCGATCAGCAGGCAACGGATTGGACCAAGGAGGTTGTTACTCCGTTCTTCTTTGAGTTAATCGACGACAGAGCCAACATTCTACGGCGCTTCGGCGCTTCTAGAGGCCAATTGACTAGTCATTTGCACAGTCTCAAGTTCGTTCAATCGAGGTTGTCTCTATTTCTTCTGTGTTTGCGAGTTGGAGTAGCGCGAACAGCCGACGCAAGTGCAAACTTTGCCGCCTCTTGGGTCATCTCCACGTGTAACTAGTACTACCTCGATTAACAATAAGATCGTCCTTCGTGGAGCTCTCTCTTCTCTCTTTTTTTTATCTCTTCTTTTAGTGGGTGGCGCTTGTCAACTTTTTTTTTTTTCTCTCTCTCTTGCTTGTGTCTCCATGCTCGAAACAGTGATCTCAAAGGTGAACGCCACCGGAGGCTATTTTCCCTTTTTATCCTACACAAATGCTTTTCTTCTTCCAGAAACGGTTCTATTTGGTGGGTTTATGTTTTTGGTAATGGATTAGATTAGATGCTTTGCTCATGAGATGATGATGCTCCTCTGTCCTGGTTGTGAGGCCGTCATCATCACTCAAATCATGATCATTGTTTATATACGTCTGAAGCAATTGTTGCTCAAAGTCTTCTCACTATACAGGTTATATAGTTCAACAATCACCTTGCAAAGACATACAGTTGCCTACTACCTAGATACTAACTCTCACCGAGAACTGCGTTGGGCCTAGTGGGAATTTACCTTATCTCTTCAATTGGACTTTACATGTATGAAAGCGGCATCCCACTTTCGGAAACTTACTCCGTGATGGTAGTGCTAGCAAGAGTTTTGTTTTTTTCTAGTTGTTTGCGTTGGAAGAGCTTCTAGGTCAAAAGTGCCTCGGCCCATAATACCTAGTCAACGACATCTGTTTCTTAAGAAAGAAAGAAAAATTTGGAAACAGAACATTTCCTAGTCGTGGATGTGGCTTGCACTAAAACGGCCTTGATTCTATTTTTCTTTCCAACAACGAGGCTAAATAGGCCCTGCTATGTCATGAATGGGCGGCCGAGGTGGAAAACTCAGCAGACAATCTCTGTCAAGTGATGGAAATGCCTCGTGAGAGTTACACTGTCTCGAGTCATGGGAGAAAAAGCCAAACGAGAACCCACGAACAAGTCAAAGAAGCCAACGAAGCAGAGGTCACGACAGCCAACAGAGCATAATCGCTCACAAGTACTGAGTTCAAGCCAAAATGCCATGATCCATTTCTCTAGATCTCTCTATCCTAAATGTGTATGAAAAAAAAGTCTAATATGTACCATGAAGTAAAAAAAGGGGGTATTCATGAATGGAAAGAAGAGAAGTTGAAGAATTGTCCAGTCAAAGGAGTGTATGAAGTGCCGCGGTCAGCGGTAAAAGTAGTAAAGGAGTGCCAGCCTCTGGCGTCTCTACTCTCATCAAGACGGAAAGAAGAGAACCAGAGTTCTGTAAGAAGTGAATGGTTGTGCTCGCAACCAGTTTGTCCCTTTTGTTTTCCCCGTGCAAAACCTTGTTCCCAGTAACCCATTTGCCCATAAGTCTCTCCGGTCATCTTGGACCAGATGAGGTATCATTGAAAGTTTTGCATTTCATCGTAGCGTCGTGAGTTGACCTGGCGCTCAGCACCAAGGGAGGCCCATGGGCGTCCCAAAGTCAAAAGCCAAAAGAAAAGAAAAGGAAATCCTTCCGGCACAGCCGTTTACTGCTCCTCGGTGAAGGTGTGGCCGATGGAGCCACCGCCAAGGGTGCAGACGAGCTCCTGCTCCTCGGTAGCCTTGGTCTGGATGTCGTCAGGCAGGTAGTAGGCGTTGTTGCAAGGGAAGTTGACGCAGCCAGACATGGGCTCCAGGGACTTGGCAGGGAACATCTGCTTGACGTTGTCCTTGTCGTTGGGGTCGACAATGGCGGAGACGTCAAAGTAGGTCAGGCCGTGCCAGCTGCCAAAGTTGATCTCGCCGAGCATGCCGGGGACGTTGTTGGCGCCCTCCTTGACGGCGTAGAAGTTGCCCTGCCAGGTATCGGGGAAGGTAACAGTGGTGTTCTTTCCACCGCCGACCTTGACGGAGTCGATGTTGGAGCTGCCGGGGTTGGAGGTGAAGTAGATGGTGCGCTGAGCGTTGTCCAGGGTCCAGAAGGTGACGCTGGCGGCAGAAGAGAGAGCCGCGGAGGCAATGAGGGTAGCAACAGAGGCGGCGAAACGCATTTTGAAGGTTTGCTTGGGTTTTTTTTTCTTGCTTGAGAAGCTAAAGAAGGAGTGTTGATGATAATGTGACGGGCCTTGCCGTTGTGCTTTGCTTTCCAAAAGGAGTGAAAAGGTGCAAAGTGCAGAAGAATGAATGATAGTCCGTAGACAAGTGAAAGGAACAGTGATGCTGATGTCTCGACAAGATCTTCTGAAACGAAGGAGAGGGGGGAACGGCCTCTTTATAACCACTCCAAACACAAAACACTCGTCGCTCAGCATAGGAGCTGTCCGCGTGGCAAAGAACAAACAAGTCTAGTGGGGAGAAGAGGAACCATTGAAGTCGTCCCCTCTCCTCTTTGTTCCCTCCCCCCCCTAGCAGGCGGCTACCGTGGGTCGCCCAGCCGGGCTAGAAGTTATTTAGTGCCTGCATGCTTGGCCCTGAAAAGACTTTCCATGTGCATAGAGGCCAGAGCCTAATGCAGGCACCATCTTGTTCGCAAGAGAGTGTGCCTGGCGAAGGGTGTGGACGGCTACTTGGAGCGTTGGAGCCCGGAACCCGAGCCCGTTGGGAACCCCTGTCCAGCGCCACGCCGGAGGTGCATGGGCTCGTAAAGGCTGAGCTTCGGGATCCCATTGCGTGGCACACTTGGGAGCCGGGTGGGCCTCTTCAGAAAGAGAAAACAGGTCCGGGCGAGAATGGAGAAGAGACGTCGAGATGCGGCTAATGAGACAGGTCGCCGAAGCTGGTCGTTTCCGGCGCCCTCTTGCAACGAATCGCGTCCATTTGCCGCCATGGCAAAAGAAATTCCACAATGGTGAAAACGGCCCAAGAATGGGCGCAGTTCGGCTCGTGTGGGAAAAAAGCAGACGCTCGTCAAGAGTTACAGTTGCCGCTGAGGTTGTTTCCCCTCTTTGCCTCGTCATCCAAACCTCCCCATTCCCCCAGGGGGTTGTTGACGCCCTGCGAAAAGTGTAAATGGCTGGGCAAACGGCTCAGGCACTCCAATGAGAGCAGAAGCTCGCGTTGAGTTGCCCGCCCTCAGCTCGACGTGTCGGAGCTTGTCAGCACTGCGGCAGAGAATGATGGTGTGCAGTCCAGACACACTTCCCAGCAGCGGCACTGTGTAAGTCACTGGCTGGGAGGGACGGGTTCCTGATCCGGATCCAGCACCCAGCGCCGAGAGCGCCATTCAGGCTCGCAGACGCATGCTGTCAGAGTACACGTCGACAAAGTCGAATGCTGGTTCGTATAGTGCGTGCTTCGCCCCCCCAGCGGCGGCATCTGATACCTCCAGCCGTCGTACCCTCCATCAACAGCCTTCAGACCCATTCCAAGGCGTGCAATTGGCCCAGACGGTGCCTGGTGGCTTGAGGCACCGTCTCCTCTAGCTGCGTAACGGCCGGGATCCGGTGCCGCGACTCCATTGGTCGGTGCCTGGCAGGACTCCATGTGGCCTGCCCTGACAGGCCGCGCCGGCGGGTGGATCGTGAGATTTCTGCTGTGCCTCTCGCCGTTGCCTCCGAGGGCAACCCAGTGTCAGGCCAGTCGCAGCAAGTTGTACAGCCTCCCAAGACCCTTGGCAGGAATTGGGGCAGCGCGGGGTTCTGCTTGATGCTAGAGCTGGAGATGATTGTGTGATGATGACTTGTATGCCTGGCTGAAGGAAAAGCAACCGATCATGCTCATGATCATCTTGGCCAGTATCGAACACGATCGTAGCCTGCACGGCCTCGACAATGCGTGTCCCTGCCCCAATAGCCCGCAGCTAAGGGAGTGGATTGGGCGCCATCGAAAAATTCTCCTCATCCCCGCTGCAGAGGGCTGAGAGCTCGTGTTCAGGTTTTTTTCGCCTCTGTGCCCAAGTGCCTTGCAGGGTATCCGGATCTAGGGCGCTGCGATGCTACGATCCGTCAGGGGAAACAGGCCAATCCCTGTCACCGAGCGTGCAGGGCACAGGGACCTCGTAACCAGCTGCAAACTTGCTTGCGCAGCTTCTCATGGGTGGAAAAGGACAAGAACTGGTGGAACCTGAAAACCCCTCAAGGCTCCATCTCCTGCAGCAGAGGCGGAGATATTCCATGCGTTTCCCTCCCGCTGCCGTCCGCCTCCATCGCATCGCGATTCTGCTCCGTGCAAGGGGCCCATTGTCACGATCTAAACCGATATCCATTTGGAAGAGGAGCCTTGATCGCACTGATCGAGTATTGCACCATATAAAGACCTCGAAGGGTGTGTATCAGGCGATAGCCGATGAATAGGTAGCATGCAGTTGCCCTCAATGCAACAATGCAAGCCACGTACGAGTCTGGGTGGTTCGCCATTGATAGGAGCACATTGTGGGTTATCACGGCCCTCACATGCTGCAAAGCTGATTCGATACCTTCGCCAAGTGCTTTGATTATGCAACCTTTTCAACTCCCAACGTTGACAGTGGGGCCAGGGTGGACAAAAGAGGTCCAAAGCGCACCGTGTTGGAAAGTAGGTGATCCTTTGGCAAGACATGCAACCTCGGAGATGTTGGCAACCCAATATCGGTATACCCAACGCCTTGGACGAGGCATCAAGAAGTAGTGATCCAGCAACAATGCGACTTGACGACGGCTAAATGGCCCTCAAACAGCCAAGCCTTGCGTGGCAACAGACAATTGGCTATATGGCCGGCGGCTTTCGCTCCTCGTTGGGTGTCAGAATCTGGCAACGGGAGCCATGGTGACGGCGACTTTCACACAGTGACGAATTCCCCTCGAGGCCGACGTGAACACTCTTCCGTTCTTCTGACAAACGTAAAGAAGAACAGAATCTTCTGCCTCCACCGGGAACAAAGAGGATGATCCAGCTTTTGCCCGCCATTGATAGGCCTGAACAGTACCTGATGAGGTAAATGCAGGACTTGCCTCCCTCGTGTTCGACGGCTCGGACCCAGTTCTGACGTTTTCGTCCGGATCAAAGAAGAAGAGGAAAAAAAAACGGTGGAGGGGCAACTTGGCTGCCACAAGAGGCATTCCGAGAGAAAGGAAGGACAACCGTACAAAAATTTTCCTCGTTTTGGAGCCGTAACGAGACAGTTTGCCAACGGTTCAGGCTACTACCATTCGGAAAGCCCGCACAGTGGCAAGGAGCAAAGCCCGAAATTTCTGCCAACCAGACTGGTCAGCCATTGCTCCGCGGCTCTTGGTCCTCGGTGGGCGTAGTGCGTTCACCGGCGCGCCTCTAAGGCTTGACAGTCGAGGAGACGGCGACTTCAAGGCGAGAAAAGAGGAGAGCAGCGACTAGCGCGATGGGCATTGAGCAGTGAAACGATAGACTGGTGCCTTGAAGGGCTTGGTGGAGGTGGGCAACTGGACTGGCAAGTCAGTTTGTGCGACAGCCGTTCGTCGAAGAAGCTGGCATGAGCATTGGGACACACAGCGCCAGTTCATGAAAGGCCGGTGAAGGTATGCTGCACGTTGCTGCATGTGCGTCTATGCGTGAATCCCGAAGGAGCCTGTGACTGTGAGCCCAGTCGGAGGATTATGTCGAGACCAGGCATCTGTGCGACAAGCGTCATGCAGGTTGCAGGTTGTGTGCGAGGGCCGTGTGACGTGAGCGGTCTCATGCTTCGCAGCAATTTGTAGGCGGTTTGAATCCTCGGGTAGAACGAAGCCCTTGAGACTTTGACGGCTCCAAGACCCTGCAGCAAGTATCAGCATTCCTGTTGAAACTCGACAAGTGATGGTAGAGGAGCTCGTGTGATTTCGAACCTCGTTCAGGCCTTGAGGCGTACGATCAGCATCCTTGACCGCTGGTAGCAGGACGAGGCAGGTCGTCTCGAGAGGATTTCAATCATGGTGAAGATTCTGTTGGTGCGACAGTCGAAGCAACTGAAAGGATGGGAGCCGTAACCGTGATGAAACAAGACGAGGCAGAGTGCAAGAGTGACGATGCACCTTTGATGCGGTTCGACTGAGGGAAGGACCAACCACAGGGCACGTGGTCGCGAATTTGACGTCTTCGCATGAGGTAAGCCCATGGTATCGCGATAACGTGCACTTGGCACTGTGTCATAGCACCCCGAAGTCGCGCTGTCATACAGTGCAATCCACCCAAAGCATACGCAGTCTGCAGGGGCCAAGCCTGCATCTCTGGGCTGCTTCAGCTTGTTGCAAATAATATCCTGCGTTGTGTATGAGGCATGAGGTACAAGGTATGTGAAGCTTGGACACACCGACATGATGCAAGCTCTTCGGTTGCTGCCTCTGCAGGAATCTACAGGTCCAATGTAACCAACTCATCCAGTCCGCTTGAGGGGGGGCATCATCCGACGAGCAAAGAGGCTGTCGACCGACCAGCAACCCCTGACTTACACACTTACACAACAGTAATTGGGACACGAAAGCGGCATCCTTCTTATCAATCAACTTGCTCACACTGATTTTTTTTCTGCAAATTCTTGAAGCCCAGAGGAAAAAAAATCACCAGTGTGTTGCTTTCGGCTTAGCATCTCCGCGATTGGTGTTGTCGCCAGCTATCCGCATTCCAGTCGCATCTTTCCAACTGCCAGCCGAAACCATCCAACTAAACTTTCCGCATCGCCGCAAGGCTCCGTAACGCCGATCATACTAGAGATAATTATAGAAACGAATGAAAGTAGAGAGCATCGGAACCCTAGGCTGCTTTCAACTGCCATCTGAGGCTGAGGCGATCTACAGGGGGGGGCAGCAGCACAACGCCATACTGACTTGCTCCTCGGTCTTTTGAGCCCACTCGCAGACATGTCCAGATCGAGCTTTACCCCTTTCATACACTGCAAAGTTTTTGATACGTTATGTGAAGGGAACATGTTGCTTTCGGAAGCTATCTGGAGCGATTGCACCATTTCTGATAAGTACTGATGTTACTCGGGGCAGACGTCCAATTCATCAAAGGTCGCTCCTTGTTGCTTCCGCTCTCTGTGCTCTTTTATGAATGGTGATCAAGGTTCGTCTATGAGTCCCTCAGATTCATCGACAATAGATATACGCGTATCTGTAGGCTGCTATGTATAGTACTTGCTGCCCCAAGCTGGCAGTGGAACTGTTGATCCGAGTTCCACACAGAATACAATGACTTTCGGAACAGTCCGTCTTGGATCGGAGATCTACTGAGGTGTCAGTCAAAGTCTCAGCTACTATTCCCACTCAATTGAACCAGTCTCGTAGCTCGATAGCTTTGTAGTTTGATAGACAAGGCATCACTAGTCGTTAAACTCCGGTGAAACTCCAACCTCAACCATCTTCCCTCCTATCAGATGGTGTCGGTCAGCTCCACCAGCAGTCTCGAATATTCAACATCACGATATCGAGTTCTTCGAGTGCGGATTTCTTGACGCTTTCGTGCAAACAAGCTGTTAGCGGCCCGGAGGCTTTCAATCTAGACCCAAACAAGTGCTATCGAGGAATGGAAGCTCAAGATGCTTCGGCACCAGCCGAAGAGGCGTATCCTCCAGCAACCATGCCCCCTTACCGCTTCCGGCACGTCTCTATCCTCATAGAGTTTGTCCAGCACAATCCATGCCGACCAAGGTATGCTCTTTATCTGATCTAAAACGAACAATCATGCCTTGCCCACCAACACCAAACCTCATGAGAAGTCTCCCAGGAGCCACGCACCAGATTCCAACCTCCTCCCGATCCGGCGATGCTGCCACAAGCCACCAACTGTCTCCATAGAACTTCTCCCCATGCGGCGAGATGCCTCAGATGGAGTCTCCCACGAAAGCAGTCGTGATGCTGCCGTTGACCCTCTCTGTCTCAACTACAAAGAGGCCCGTCGATCCCGCCATCTGAATCAACCCCCTTTTCCAACACAAACCACATTCGCTTATAGTCCAAGACACTCGCTTGACTTTCCCTCTCGTCCTTTTTCCTGTTGATAGTCGTCGTCGAAACGCCGTCATTTCAACATGCGTTTCTTGCATCTCTTAGCGTCCACCGCGGCGCTGGCCTCGGCGGCCTCCGTCGCGGACTTGAACAGCAACTACAACAAGCCCGACGACAAGAAGGTCGACCAGTTCGACAAGCCCAACTTTGAGGAGCCCAAGGTTGAGGGTCCCAAGGTTGAGGGTCCCAAGGTTGAGGGTCCCAAGTTTGTGCCAATCAAGGCCGATGAACACAGGGACGGCAACGCCAATAACGCCAATAACAACAATAACAACAAGGGTGCTGACTTCCACAACGGCCCTGAGAATGACCGCAAGGATGGTTTCAAGCAGGATGACCACAAGGGTGGTTTCCAGCAGGATGACCACAAGGACGTCAAGCAGGACGACCGCAAGGGTGGTTTCCAGCAGGATGACCACAAGGACGTCAAGCAGGACGACCGCAAGGGTGGTTTCCAGCAGGATGACCACAAGGACGACCACAAGGATGACCACAAGGGTGGCTTCCAGCAGGACGACCACAAGGATGACTTCAAGAAGGAGGGCGAGCATAAGGATGCCTACAAGCCTGAGCCCAAGAAGGACGAGCACAAGGATGAGAACAAGTGGGATGAGCACAAGGGCGAGCACAAGGATGAGCACAAGGGTGCCTACAAGCCTGAGCCCAAGAAGGAGGAGCACAAGGAAGAACACAAGGAAGAGCACAAGGAGGAGGAGCATAAGTGGGAGGCTCCCAAGAAGGAGGAAGAGCATCATAAGGAGGAGCACAAGGAGGAGGAGCATAAGTGGGAGGCTCCCAAGAAGGAGGAAGAGCACAAGGAGGCTCCTAAGAAGGAGGAGGAGCATAAGTGGGAGGCTCCCAAGCAGGAGGAGCATAAGGAAGAGCATAAGGAAGAGCACAAGTGGGAAGACCACACCGTCTACACCACGGTCATCACCACCGACTACACCACTTACTGTCCTGTAAGTCACCTCTCATACAAACCTCCAAACCCTTCAGAAGATCGCACACAGACTAACACACCCTCCTCTTACAACAGTCTCCCACTGTCATCCCTATCGGTAGCATCACTTACACGGTCACTGAGCCAACCACTCTGACCATCAAGAGTAAGCCCCTCCAGCCCCTTATCAACTTCTCAAGTCCCATGTACTAACAATCTGCAACAGACTGTCCCTGCACCATCCCGGTTCCTCCTCCTCCGCCGCCCCCTCCTCCGCATACCACGCCTCCGCCGCCTCCCCCTCCGGTCACCACCGTGGTTCCTCCTCCGGTCACCTCCGTTGCGCCTCCTCCTCCTCCTCCCCCTCCACCGCCTCCTCCTCCTCCTCCTCACACTATCGTGCCCCCTCCTAACAGCACCGTTATCCCGCCGCCGCCGCCTCCTCCTCCGCACACTGTCGTTCCCCCTCCCCCTCCCCCTCCCCCTCCTCCTCCTCACACCGTTGTCCCCCCTCCCCCTCCTCCTCCTCCTCCCGTGAGCTCTGTTGCTCCTCCTCCTCCTCCTCCTCCCCCGGTGAGCTCCATTGCTCCTCCTCCTCCCCCGCCGCCTGCCACAGGAACCACCCCCTTGGTCGTTCCCACCGCTGCCGCCGACAAGACCAAGGCTGGCATCGGAGCTCTCGTCATCGCTGGTATTGCCGCCATGGCTCTCTAAGCGACCAGATGTGGGCTACCATCACAATGGCCCTTCCTTGGAGGAAGCCACCGGGCTCATTACCCCAAATAGCTGTGGGGGACAGTTCTCAACTTTTAATGATTGCTTTCCACTAACTTTCTTGACACTCCTTGATCATCTAAGGGTATAATGGTTTGGGCAAATGAGAACTGAAGACGGATAAACAAAAGGCTGTTGGATCTTGTCTTGTTATCTAGACAAGTATAGATCAAACAAAAGTACGCTCCTTTACAACGCATCTCATCGCCGTGACAAAGACATGTGAAGTCAGTCGGCCTGTTCCTTCTTAATACTTTCATTCATCCTATACATCCTATTCATCGTTAAAATATGGGTAGAAGGGGGGGGGATCAGTCCAGACACATAAGGCAACAGCCCCATCATCAAGTCCCATCCATTCTGTTGCGGGTTTCACTACGCCATCGTCGCATGGGATATCGACCACGCCAAGTGTTTGGCACCCGCTGCTAGCTTGCAGGTCCCAGCATCCCCGATGCCTCAAGCCGCGATCTCACCTCGCGCGCCAGCGCCTTTGCTTCCTCGACCTCGACTCCATCCTGACACAGTTCGGCGGCCAGTCGGTTCGCCGTCTGGTAATCTGCCGTGCGCATGGCGAACTTGGCCAGCCACATCCGCGCCTTGCTGGTCGCAGCAGTGACACCGGTGCCCTCTGCATTCCCTTCTGCGTTGGCATCCTCTCGCTCGGCATAGCCTTCAGAGCCTCCCGGTGAGTCATTGTGAATCCTGACAGACTCACCAAGGTTTCCCGCAGCAGCCGGGCCGCCATCTTCTTGCGCCATGCACAGCTCCATGTACGCTTTGGCCTCCTCTTCTTCGCCGAGCTGATCATACATGGTGGCAATCTGCAAGAGGATCTCTGGATCCATCTGACCAGTGGCACCGCGAGCGCCCAGTAAATCTCCGCCGCTTCCAAAGCTGCTGCCAACGTCATAGTAGGCATCGGCCAGCAGAGCGCGTTTGAGCGCCTTGATGCCATCACGCTCTCGGCCCATCTTCTGGAGGCACGACCCAACCGCCATCCACATCTTGCCATCCCAGGGGCGAAGACCTGCTGCCTTTTTATAGTACCATAGCGAGTAGGTATGCATTTCCAGCATTTCGTAAGTTTGTCCGAGGCCGTACCAAGCACGGTAGTCGCGCCGATTGACATCCACAGCCCGCCGATATGATTCAATGGCAGCGTGCGTGTTCTTCAGCTCCACGTACTCGTGGCCCATCAGGGTCCAAGCGGAAAGACATGATCTGTCGAGCGTCAGTGCTCGGCGGAAATATCCCACTGCTTTCTCATGCATTGACAATAGCGAGTAGTAATTCCCGATGACGACGCAGGATTCGGGTCGGAATTTGTCCACGCTCGAACACAGGTGGGCCAAGAAGGCGAGTTTTGGCCGCAGGTTGAGCACATAGAGGATATTTGAATAATGGTCCAAAGAGTCCAGTCTGTGTGGATGGAGTGATAGTAGCCTGCTGAAGTGTTGCTCAGCAGCCATTAGATCCTTGGCATGGTAGGCTAGAAGCGCGTTGCAAGTGAGGAGGAATGACGATGTCGGGAAGATGGAGAGAAGCTGGTCGAGAGAGTTGGCGAGCCCTGCGGATTGCTGGTACAGCTCAAGTGATGTGTGTAGGTGGAACATGTAAGAGACAATGTTCTGAGGACAATGTCGGCATATCCGGTTCAGCTGCAGGTATTGATCAGTTCGAGCTCCAGGTGATGCTGAGGATTGAGCACTTACGTCTTCGACTCTTGATATCAGAGACGTCATCTCTAACCAGCAGCCCCAGTTCATGGGATACTTGTGGACGCTGCGGATGAAGAACTCCAAGGCCTTTTCATCATTCTTTTCCTTGGCAAGCACCATGCCATATCTGTTCAATGGCTGATGTTAGTGGTCCTCCATATACCTTGGCAATGGCGACAAAGGCTTTCCACGTACAGGTATTCCAGCCAACCTTGGCTTCCGAGGACCTCGTCATCATCCGTCGTCCGCTCCTCAAACCAAGCAGCCAGAAACCTCCCCACGATGAGAAGCTGCTTGTTAACGACAGTGCCCAGATCCTGAGGCCCCATGACCATTTCCGAGTCTTCATTCTTGCGCTTCTCGCCAGACATGAATTTGGCATAGAGGGCCAGGAACAGGCTCTTCTGGCTCAGCTTGGGCAGCGGGATCGCACTCTGCTTCGCGTCATCCGTAGCCTTGGACTTGCCCTTGCCCTTGACAGCCACCGGGGGCTTCTCGAGGCGCGAGTCGAGGACAGTCGACAGCAGCGAGTCCGGCAGGAAGACGGCGGCGCAGCGATCGTACTCCTTGCAGTCAAAGAGGGACTTGGCGAGCAGGTACTTGCTGAGCTCCTTTGCTTCGAGAGCAGCCTCGTCGGCATCCTGGTTTGGTGAGAAGATGGGCGACGTGTGCTTGAGGTCGGCCCCAGCGGCGTCATCCTCGCCCTCGTCCGATTCTGGCACTGCGTTGAGAAGCTCGGCTGCCCTTGATAGTAGGATGATTAGCCTTGTGCCTTACACTGTGGTGACGCATACTCGACAATGCTTCGAGCATCGCGAAGAAACATTTGGGCAGCTAACCATTTTGCCGACTGGTAGAGACACCGCTCGGAGCACTTCACCACCGCGTCCTGCAGAGCCACCCTGAGCTGCGCGACCTCGTGAGGACTGAGCGCCATGGCTTGCGATCAAAACAACAACAACAACAACAACTGAGAGTAACCGGTGCAACTGGCGGCGCAAAGGCCCAACCCGCGGCCTTGCAGTGAGTGCCGAAACCCTTGTCCTCTCGTTCTATGTCATGAGCTTATTTAGTAACTCTCATATGCAGGGCGTCAGTGTCCGGCGTCTGCGAATCGCATCGACTGTGTTGAGCTTGGTGTGAGATGGTGGATGTCGCGATAAGAGCTGCAGGTCAGACCCGAGTACGTGCCTTGGGTGCCGTACTCGTATTGCCTAAGAAGTGATGCAAATTAGGTACACAGTGTCGCCGTAAACTGGCAGAATGCTCGCAATGGCTGCAACTGTCTCGCGGTTATACAGTGCTCTTACTGTATCACTTGGCCGGGTTCTGCACGGAGTACCTCAATATGGGCACCATCACCCTCCGATATCATCCAGCGATCAAGAGCAATCATCGGCGCCTGCCCGCCCCAATTTCAGGTACCGGCACACCAACTTCCAGCGGTTGTGACCATCCCAAGCCGCGCCGTCACAGCGACTAAGGCCGGGTCTCAGTACACTGTACATCGAGATATGCACTAGAGCAGCTCTCTCTTGGCTGCAGCTCCAAAGGGCGACAAGTACCCTCTACGAGTAGCCATCCTCTCACCGCCCCCTCCAAACGGGAAAAGGCAAGGAGGGGCCCTCCCCGGTTCGGCTCTGGCAATTTTTTGGCTGGCAATTGGATAGAGGGGTCGGAGGGTCTCGTCCATTTCGAGCAACCGAAGTTCGACCCAACACTTGGCCCAACACGTATATCATTGTAGACTATCTCTCTCTCTCTCTCTCTTCCTCTTTCTTGATTCCTTGTTCTTGAATCGTTTCTGCCCCTCTGCTTCGTCTTGCCCTTTCTAATTGAACTCTCTAATACCACAATCGACCGTCACAATGGCTCAAAAGACTACCCTCAAGGAGTTTGAAGCCGTCTACCCCAAGCTGGAAGAGGCCCTCCTCGACCATGCTCGATCATACAAGCTGCCCGAGAAGGAGCTGAACTGGTTCAAGAAGGTAAGGAAGAATCTCAGCCACCCCATTATATCAATCTCATTCATGTTTGAAGAAGAAATAGAAGAGGAGGAGGAGGAGGAGGAGGGGAGACAGGCGAGGACAAAAGACAACAACAAGAAGCACTTTGAGATCCATTGTCCAGATCAAGTAGCTAACACGCTCATTCCTCGCAGAACCTCGAAGTCAACCCCCTCGGCGGCAAATGCAACCGCGGCATGTCCGTCCCCGACTCCGCCTCCGTCATCCTCGGCCGCCCCCTGACCGAGGAGGAATACTTCAAGGCGGCGACGCTGGGCTGGATGACGGAGCTCCTGCAGGCCTTCTTCCTCGTCTCGGACGACATCATGGACAGCAGCATCACGCGCCGCGGGCAGCCCTGCTGGTACCGCCAGGAGGGCGTCGGCATGGTGGCCATCAACGACGCCTTTTTGCTCGAGTCGGGCATCTACATCATCCTCAAGAAGTTCTTCCGCGACCACCCGCGCTACATCGACATGGTCGAGCTCTTCCACGAGACGTCCTTCCAGACCGAGCTCGGCCAGCTCTGCGACCTGCTCACCGCCCCCGAGGACACGGTCAACCTCGACAACTTCTCCATGGAAAAGTACACCTTCATCGTCATCTACAAGACCGCCTACTACTCCTTCTACCTCCCCGTGGCCCTCGCCCTCTACCTCCTCGACATCGCCACCCCGCAGAACCTCCAGACCGCAAAGGACATCCTCATCCCCCTCGGCGAGTACTTCCAGATCCAGGACGACTACCTCGACAACTTTGGCCTCCCCGAGCACATTGGCAAGATCGGCACCGATATCAAGGACAACAAGTGCTCATGGCTCGTCAACCAGGCCCTCCAGATCGTCACCCCCGAGCAGCGCAAGATCCTCGAGGACAACTACGGCCAAAAGGACGACGCCAAGGAGCAGGCCATCAAGCAGCTCTACAACGACCTCAAGCTCAAGGAGCGCTACGAGGAGTTTGAGGAGAAGCGCGCCGCCGAGCTCAAGGACCTCATCAACAAGATTGACGAGAGCCAGGGCCTCAAGAAGGAGGTCTTTGAGGTGTTCCTGGGCAAGATCTACAAGCGAAGCAAATAAGCGATTTATCTTTTCCTCTAAACTGTCAATCTTGCGGATACATGAAAAAAAAAGAAGAAGAAGGCAGTCGGCGTCTGTACAAACCGGAGCGAATTTACAGCGTTTTAGATGTCGTACATGGTAGAAACCACAAGAAAAACAGAATCAGCATTAATATATAGTTAGGCCACATATAGAGAAAGAAGGCTCAACGGGAGATAAAACAAACCAAAAGAACGCAGTGGATGAGTATGTATTATGAACTACCTCTACAATGGCCTCTTCCACAATCTCTCTCTCGTTTTTCCTCCTCCCCTTCTTCTCTGTGCGCGTGCCCATGCTGTATAATACCAAAAAGGAGACTTCCCGAATGCCGTAAATGATGACGCAGCTCCTCTAATAAAAAGAACAAATTAAAAAGGACACATGCAACCCAATACCCTCCCAATTTCCCTTCTTCCGTCATCTTCACCATGCCATGCCTTGCTTAGGTGAGGTAGCTTCAGGAGCCATCTAGGGGCAATTTGCCCTTGGGAAATGATAAACAAAGGGGAAACGAACAAGAGACGGACCACCGCTATGACCATGATGGGTTATTCAAGACAGCTAAACAAAGGGAATACCAAAAACCCGACTGTGGAAATATGTTATGCCTCTGCTTTCGGAGTTTCATGACAAGAAAATGCGAATCGCTCTCATCCATCGGTCGGCAGTACTAGTACCTCATGTATGTACTCTGCAGACAGTTAGGTATAGACCGTCGTTCATCGGGCTGAGTTGACAAGAGGCCCGGGCCGTCGCTCTTGGGGACGCTCCCTGGGTCGCTCCTTGGGACGTTCTTGACGCTCCTGCAGCAAAGGACCCGGACGGCGATGCTCGTGGCTCCGCGAGGAGGCATCGCGAGGCGAATGAGGGGGCATCCGGTTTGAACGTGGACCGGGTTGCCGGTTTTGCGAAGATGCTAGGGGAATCTCATCGGCAGAGATCGGGTGGCGTCGAGAAGCACCACTATTGGCACTAGCTATCGAGTGGCTACGGCTTCGCGAACTTGAAGCTCCTGACGGCGGCATGGGACCACCGGCGGGAGGCGGTCGGTGTCTTCCTCCTGGCGACGCGGGTTGTGCTTGCTGTCCCCCGGTTGCAAATGTTACAAGAGGCGACCCCGGTGGAGGGCGCAGCCCGTGTCCCTGTCTGGAGCCGGGGCCGTGTCGAGGGCCGTCTCGGATCCGTGGCGGTTCTGGGAAGTTGTTGTTCGCAAAGTCCAGAAGCGGCCCCTGCCCCTTGCCGTGAGCAGATTTGGTCGAAGGGTCGGCCGTCACAGGCCGTTTGGAGATGGAAGCGCTCCGGTTGCGCGCGCTGTGCTCAGCGGCGGACGGGAACCAGGACTTCACAGGAGGCTGCTCAGGTGATTTGGGAGACGACAGGCCCATGCTGTTCAGCAAGGACGGGCCTTCTGTGAATGGGCCCTCAATCTTTTTGACTGCTGCGCCGTCAGTCGCGGCCTCGCCGGCGGCGGCCGCCTCCTCCTTGCGCTTCTCATACGCGTCGCCCAGCAAGCCAGTGGGCGAAAAGGTTGCTTGATCGCCTTTGACGCTGGGGCTGACAGAGGCGCTGGACTCGTTCCGCCTCCTGGGCTTGTTCTTGTTGAGTTCAGCTTCCAGCGCCAGCTTCCTGGTAGATTCTTCAATGGCCTTGGTGAAGTCGGCCTCGTCGATAAAGGTTCCGGTAGAAATAGTCAGGCCACTAGAGACCCGTGGAGACTTGTCTGGGATGCGCTGTATAGGGCCAATGTCCATGGCCAGGTTCAGGGGCGGAGGCACCTCGACCGGGCGCGAGTGCGTGATCTTGTTGACAATGTACCAGCTCCGCCACGCATGCACATGGCTGAAGAACTTGTGGGCTGTCGCGGCATCGTCGGTGCAGAAGAAATGGACGAAGTTCTCGCCGTTGGGAAAGACGACGGTCTTTTGCTGGCTCTTGATGGCGTAGCAGATCTTCTTGGGGGGCTTGAGATGCCGCTTCACCTCGCTCTCCCTGGGCTTGTAGATGTCAAAGTCTGACAGATGGCACAAGGATGTACTGTCCTTGTCACCGACTTGCGCGTCGGCACGCTTGGAGGCGAACATCTGGCCGGTATTCAGCAGAGTGACATACCGCTTGCTCCACTTGCCAGGGCGCGGGGAGTGATAGAGGTAGATGGTGAAGCCAGGCGCGGGCTCGTCTGTCTGAGGGACGGCCGAGAGCTCGAGACTGTCGTCGTCTCCCGGCGTGTCACAGGGCACAATCAAGAGCGAGTTGTCCTGGTCCCGGTCCCAGGAGTTCATGGTGTCTCGTACATGCTCATATCGTCGCATGCGCCGGTCCAGGCCAAGGGCGTCGTAGCATTCAATGACGACACTCGTTTCAACATCAACGTCATGCTGTGTCTGCGCAGCTGCTGCGATGAGGATATCCTCCGGCGTAGTCTCGGTGGTTACCTCCAGTTTGAGGGTAGACGACATGCATCGAACGGTAACACGCTGCAAGGGGGAGGGGTCAAGAGAAGAGGGGTCAGCAAGTGAGCAAGCAGAGTCACACGAGGATAAAGGTGCGAGCCAACGGGCACTCACTCGTTCACCGCCATTGATGGCAGAGATGGGCGCGTCGCCATCCGGGTGCGGTTGGATGAAGCTCATCCTATGCGAGGGGTTGAACGGGGGAGAGTCGTCGAGGCTGCTTCTCCCGCCGATGCTTGGCGTAGGGGTGAAGATACTGGGCGCGATGGAGTTGGGCGTAGCAGGCGGCAGAGGGGTGAGTGGCGGCTGGCCCAGGTTGGAGCTGCTGGGCTTCCTGGCGCTCCTGGAGAAGAGGTTGAGCTTCTCGAGGACTCGCTTGGGCTTGGTCGAGGACGGGGTCGAGGGCGGCTGCGCCTGGAGCCGAGCCAGGTCAAACTTGCGCTGCTCGTCGATGACAAGCTCCCGCTCGGCCTCGAGTCGCGCAACGTCGTCTGCGCAGCGAGCGGCGTCTTCCTCCTGGCAGCTCTGCAGGGCCTCTGCCTTCTTGCGACGGGCCTCGTCGAGCTCGAGGTCTAGCTGGGCGGCGAGCTCGTCGATTTCTCGCTCGGTCCTGCTGGCAGAGCGGCTCAACGGGGTGCCAAAGTGCGAGCCCAGCGGCGATCCGGGCTCTGAGACGAAGGACCTGGCTGAGGGCGATGGCGGCGGCTTGAGGTCGCCTCCGAAGAATCTGCGCTCCAGCAGCGACGGGGTCGAGTCGATCTTGGAGTTTGCGCTGAGCACGAGGTTGGGGATGAGCGGCGGCGGCTGGAGCTGGAGCTGTGCCGGTGTATGTTGTTCTGATGCTTGTGCTTGTGTTGCTTGAGAGTGGCAGTAGGGGCTTTTGGAACCCGGCGAGCTCTGCGGCGCATCAGGGTCGCGGAACAGGTTGAAGCGCGAGATGCTCTTCCCTCCAAAGGAGCGCGGCGTCTTGGGCGGCTGCAGTTCGGGGCCCGGGGGTGCTGCAGGGACCTCGCCTGCAGCGGTCATGGCGGCTGTGGTGCCTGGAAGAGGGCCCTGGAGCCGCTGTCAGCTTCACTGGGTTGCGCCCTGGCAGCCCAGACAGAGGATCCCGTCAGTCGATCAGCCGCCTAACGCCAGCCACAAACACCGAGTGAATGTGCTCGATTGCTGTTTTGGGCTGAGACGCAACCTAGCCCGTCAATCTAGCTGTCACGCAGCAGAGATTAAAGGCTTCGGGAGTGATTCCGCACGGGTTTATGCGGCAGAATCAAGGGGGACAAACAGGAGCTTTTTTCTCCTCCTGATTCTCCTTTTTAGTCCCCTTTTCTTCCGTTTTGCCCTTTTCGTCCCCTTTTTCCTCTGCCGGCGATGCTTTGATATACTCAATGACAGCCTGTAGGTATAAACCGGTACAAGGGCTGCGGGAGTGGCGCACCCAAAAATCGGTGTAAGTGCAGCTGTCAGGAAAGCTTAACGTCAGAATGTAACCCGTTGCTGAGCCGTTCTCTCGGGAACCAAGTTTCGCAGCTGACGTACCAGATGTGGCAACTCGAGTTTCGTAGAAAGAGTCACCTTTATCGAATGTGTCCAATGGAATGAGCAGGCCAAGAAAAAGATGCCGGTCGTGAAGGAACAGCTCTCCGGGGAAGCAGGTGGAAAGCAAGGCGGCGACCCGAGGAAATATGCTGGAGAAAAGGGAAGCATCTAGGAGAGCAAGCTCAATCGACGCAATCTCTCTTGCCCTCCCTGTCCGGACGCCTCGTGGCCACAGGCGACAGGCTTCGTGCTGAAGATCAGGGAGTCGCCCTGCCAGACGTTGATGCCCATGATGCTGGTCATATCGCCAAATGCCATGAGCCTCCAAGACCCCCCCTCCACCGTCCGCCTCCCAAGGATCTCCGCCGGCATCGAACAGATCACTGTCTTAAAATATCTCCTCGCTTGCAGTAAGCCTTGTCGTGGCGAGTAGTGGTACCATCGCTGGTAGTACAATTCCAGAGGCATCCCGGCGATTGCAAAGGGGGTTTGTTCGAGTATTTGCTTTTTTCTGGTGGGGGTCTCAATTTGGCCAGCTTGTCGACGGTCGGTGCGGACACAAAGATTCAACGGCGTCGATCGAGTGTGTGTCTCATTGTAGTGAAGAAAAGTCATGCAAGGGGACTTTCTAGAGCGCTCGCAGGTATGAATGGAACATTTGCGCTATGCCATCCAGCAACTGTCAGTATGGCCAGCATCACCAGCATCACCGATTTGCCCCTCGCCTTCGCCTGCTGTACTCACTTGCTATACGGTGCCGACAATCCCTGGCAGGGTCCAGCAGGCATGGATCTGCCCCCAATCTTCTCACGGCGTTCCATGCCCCTTCAAAAAGGACTTCCGGTGAGCCTGGGTCAATCGAGGGCATCTCCTCGGCGGGTCATGAGGCGGAGGCGGTCGAAATAATATTCTTAATGTCGCCTTCTAAGCGGATCCCCCACGAACCACCGTTCGGTGAGTCTAGGCTTATGTACTTTGCAGGCAGGGGTCTGGTATATCATTCGCCTCCCTACTTGCGCTTCCGCACGTATATGACAGAGTATTGTTAGTGACATGGACAAGTAGTAGTTTTCACAGATGATATATGTGCCCAGCTGAAAGAGCAACATGGGTGTCGATCCTCGTCCGTGATGTACTGGCATACCAGCGCACGCATAGAGGGCGGCAGTGCACATGTCCCCGAGCTTGCATGTGCTCCAAGGAAGTAGGTGATAAAGTGCATCTTCAAACAAGTAGGTATGCACACATTGCTCTGATAAGCCGGGTGTGGACAACAAGATTGTCATCAATGCGAAACCGTGTTCGGTCAAGAGAACTGGGCTATTAATAACTATTTGCGAAAGGCGCGAACCTCGCGGCGCCACCAGCTGACGAAATCGCATGTCGAAACGTCGATGTTGAGATTCTTGAGCTCCCGGGTGCTCAAGTGGCAGTCATACGGCCGTTGCACGCTGGCGTTGGGGTCGTTGCCCTCCGTGTTGGGCTCAATGTTGGCAATGGACAAGCCCATGATGTCGCCAAAGCGCTGGCAGATCTCGTACTTGGTCACTCTGTCTTCGCTGGAGAACTGGAGGATCTGGGGCAGATGCTTGCGATCGCTCGAATCGAGGTACTTGACCGCCACGTCTGTGGAAACGGGGGAGAGCGCAGTCAGCATCGGAGGAGCATCTCCATATGCAATAGAACGAAATATCAAGGGTCGAGGAAAGAGTGAGATGGTAATCATGAGACATTGGGAACCCCGGTGCGGACGTCTGCCCAACTGTAGAGCAGCATGAGACGAGACTTACCGTGGCAGACCCTCCCTACATCTTCCGTGTTGGTCGGGTAGCGAATGGCCCAATGGTCCATCTTGATCTTGGTGCCCTGCGTCTGGGCCTTCCAGACGCTGTCCATGAGCACGTTGACGGCGCTCTCCGAGGGCGTCTCCGCGTGGCCGTAGAGCACCGGGACTCGAAGGACGACGCCCAGGCCTTCCTTTCCAGCAATGGCATACTCCTCTCGGACAGCCTTTTCGCCGTCCAGCTTGGTCTGGCCATAGAGATTAGTAGGCTCGGGGGTGGCGTCGGCTTCGTAAGGAGCCTCGCCGGGCCGGCCAGGAAAGACATAGTCCGTGGAGATGTAAATCATCAGAATGTCGCGAGCAGCAGTGACGCTGGCGAGCGACTTGCTGGCGGCAATGTTGAGCGTCCGTGCCGCCTCTGGATCCTTGTCCACCTTGTCTGGGAACCGTTGCGCGGCGCCTGGAAGTGAATAGCCAAGTCAGTCAGCAATCCCGCTCCGAGCCCTGCTGCTTCCATCGATTAAACACTCGGCGCACGATACATACAATGAACTACCACGTCGGGGCTGTCGTACGCTCAGAAGAGACTCGTCAGCATTCAAGCCCGGGGTGAAGCGTCGTTATATCGGCTATGCACAGCCGCCAAATGAGCATCAACGCACCGTATCTCGTCTATTGTTTTGGCAATATCAGCTCCGCTCTCCAGGTCGAGCTTGATGATATCAACGCCGTCTGCGCGCGAGTAGCCCGAGCCCTTGACGTTCCATCCGCTGCTGTTCCGAAAGGCGGCGGCGACTTCTCTGCCCAGCAGGCCGGTGGCACCAGTGACGAGGACTGTTCGCTGCGCCATTGCGACGGTAAGATAATGACAGTATGGCCCCTAAGCCAGAGATATCACTGGAGGGGTAGTAGATGTGTAGAAGCCAATGCCCTTCACAATTGACCGCCAAGATTCTTCCTCTGGGTGTGAAAACAGGGGGTTTTGGGATGAAAGTTCAGTGATCAGAACAGACAAGTTGAAGCTTTGAGATGCTCTGGCTGAGCTGCAGCTTGGCTGGTGGAGCTGTGACGTGAAGACGAGGGGCCTGCTCCGCATTTCCCAAGCAGAGCTACCCTATCAGACGACCAAGAGGCGACCTTTGTCAACACCAGGAGTCCAATTCATGTTCAAATCGATATGTCGAGCTTGATTATAGATATAGCCATCATATGTATAGGCTCCAGAGAGTGATATTTTATCATTAGTGGTCTACAGAAAGTAGCTAAGAGGACTACCTCATTACTCGGACCGCGGGCGCCGTGTGTTATGTACCTCTAACATACAATGTACAGCAGCTCGAGAGCCAAACACCGCGAGAGCAAACTTATCAATTGGGCTTGTATGCATCACAAGCCCGCCCCGAAAAAGCCCCAGTAGAGTAGCATGCCTTCTAACCATACATAGACATGTGTATTCAAGCAATTATTCATGAAATTGCCCAAAATTGGGATGCCTTGAACTGTCTGATCTGTTCGAAGCCGAATCACAAGCTTCCCGCTAGCAGCTCGATAACTGACATGCTATCGCAGACCCACCTCGATTTTCCAAGACTCTCCCTCTAACATCATCAACTCCAACCTCATCCTCCTCTCTTCCCTCTCCATCTCACCCAACCCGCACGCAAAGAAACCTCCCTCCTCCTCCCGCCCACAATGCCTCCCAAGCGCATGACCGCAAATCCCATCAAACCCTCCCGCCACCGCGCCGGCAAGCCCACTGGCGCCGACTCCTCCTCCTCCTCAGACTCCGACGCCAGCGACGCCGACGAACCCATCGCCCCCGTTGCCGTCGCGCCTCCCCCCAAAGCCCTCAGCGCAGGCAAGATCATCAGCAACCTGAACAAGGTCGACCTCGACTCGCGCCGTAAAGATGCGGAAGCCGCCGAGGCGCGTCGCATCGCCGCGCAGAAGGCGGAGCGGCTAGCCGCCGAACAAGGCTTCGTCACCGAGGAAGAAGAAGAAGAAGGAGAAGAAGAGGAAGAAGAGTCAGATGATGAAAGCGGCTCAGAAGAAGAGGAAAGCAGTGAAGAATCAGAATCAGAAGAAGAAGCGCCAAGGAGATTAATGATGCGACCCAAATTCATACCCAAAAGCCAACGCTCCGGCGGCAAGAACCCCGACGCCGACGCCGCCGCCGAAGCCGCCCGCCAAGCGGCAGAAGAAGAAGCCCGCAAAAAGGCCGCCGCCGACGAGCTCGTCGAGGAACAGATAAAAAAGGATTTGGCCGCGCGCGCCGCCGGCAAGAAGCACTGGGACGACGAGGACGACTCGGGCTCCGACGTCGACACCACGGACGGGCTGGACCCCGAGGCCGAAGAGGCCGCGTGGCGCGTGCGCGAGCTCAAGCGCCTGCGGCGCGCGCGCCAGGCCATTGAGGAGCGCGAGAGGGAGCTCGCCGAGGTGGAGCGCCGCCGGAACCTGACCGAGGAGGAGCGCGCCGCCGAGGACGAGGCCTTCCTCGCCAGGCAGCGCGAGGAGAAGGAGGGCAAGGGCAAGATGGCGTACATGCAAAAGTACTACCACCGGGGCGCCTTCTTCCAGGAGGAGACGGCCGCCGCGGGCCTGCTGCAGCGGGACATCATGGGCTCGCGCATCCAGGACGATGTGCGCAACCGCGAGGCCCTGCCCGAGTATCTGCAGAGGCGGGACATGACGAAGCTGGGCAAGAAGGGCGCGACAAAGTACAAGGATATGCGGACCGAGGACACGGGGCGGTGGGGAGCGTTTGATGGCGATAGGAGGAGGGGAGAGCGCCGGTTTGACGGTGGTGAGGACGACCGGTTTCGGCCGGATGACGATTGGAATCGCAGAAAGAGGAGCACGTCTCGGGAAATGGATCGGTATGATGGCGACAAGAGGCGCAAGGTTGACAGTGGGGAGTGAAGACGCATGCACAAGAAGGTCAACATGGCTTACATTGAGTCTGTCAGTGAAAGATGCACCAACGCATCCGAATTCTAGACTTTTAATAACTGTACAAGTTTATACCCCCCCAAATCTAGGTACCTAGTTGGCATAGACCATAGCCAAAAACAAAAGGAGGAAGATGACGCAAATGAGCAAAACAGAGTTACATCTTTGCTTCGGACCTGCTTTCCCCATTCTTCTATATCCTCACAATCTCTACCCGCGCCCTGTCGAATACCCTGTGACTTATCAAGCCGTCTATTACTTCGCCATCCAACGGTGGAGGGTAGAGCGTCATGCGAGCATACGTTCCCGGTCCACGCCTCTTCGATAGAGACCCCGGGTTGATGGCTAAAACGCTCTCAACGACCTAGTATCCCTTAGTCAGACGATTCTAATAAGGAACAACTGCAAAGTAGAAAAAGGAAAGTGCATATAGAAAAGGACATACCCTTGCAAAAGGAGGTAGTGAACTGGGCGTCAGCAACACGTCGGGCCGAACATTGACCATCTCGCCCAGCTTCAAATAGCTCACGTCCAGCATCGCCCCCGTCGCGAGCCCTTCCTCCGTCCCCGTCCTAGGCAGCCTCGACCTGTCCGTCGGTGGGAAGACGGGGAAGAAATGCCGCTGCTCGATCAAATGGCGAGACAGCCTCCTCATGAGGTCTCCCGCCGGCGCCCCCTTGGAGACCTCCTCGCTGCGCAGCTCGTAGAGCACGTCCTGGCTGGACAATCCGACCACCACCTCGTTCATGGACAGCGTCATCGGGTTGGAAACGATGCGCACCGACTTGGGCAGGCCGAGCTCTCGTCGGGGAATGGTGTCCTGCGGCCACGAGACGTGCTTGTCGAGGACGTCGCGCACCGAGGGGACGAGAATGACGGTGAGATGAGGATTGGCGGAGGCGAGGCGATTTAGCGCCGGGGCGACGAGATGTTTGAAGACGGTGTTCATGTTGGCCGTGTCCGGGTCGTACGAGGCCTCTTCAGGAAGGTCAAAGTCGCCCGTAGCAATAAGCGGATGATCAATGTCAAGGAACGGCCCCGTGAGAACGAGGGCGTCGGCGTATGTGTCGGCTGCTTGACTGCAGAGCGCCTGCAGCGGCTCATAGTCGAGGTTATCGTCGGCCGTGTACGGCCCGGCTGCGTAAAGAATGGTGAGCGGCGCAGGGTCCGAGTCCGAGTCCATGGCGTCCGGGTCGCCCTTGAGCTTCTCCCGGTGAGCCTCCAGGGCCGCCAGACTGGAGGCAGCGCTCGGCAAAAGAGGCACCTCGAGAATCTCCTTGACGATGAACTCGTCCCCGGTGATGTTGCTTCCCCTGAGCGCGACAATCTGGCCCGGGAAGAAGCTCCAGCTTTGGATCGCATCCAGTTTGAGCGGCACTCTCAGGCCCCTGCCCGTCCGCCTGGACGTCTCCAGCACGATCGACGCAGCGTTGAGCTTGCCCTCGAGAGAGTCGGACGCTATGCGGCCTACGGCCACCACCTCGGTTGTGCTTGCGGTCGCCGCATTGCCAAAGGCAGAGTCCTCCAGATTGTGGTGCTCGCGGACAAGATCGATGAAGTCGTCGATTCGGTCGTCCAGGATCTCGCTAGCCTCCGACAGCTTCATGGCAAGCGGCTTGTAGCCCGTCTTCTTCTGGTCAGACGCAGCAGTGAGCTTGATTCTCGGCTCGGGGAACGGCGCAATGGGTGCCTCGGCAGGCGGAAGCTCCTCGTTTAGGATCTCCACGACGTCTCCGGCATTCTGTCGATCCGCAAAGGACGTCGCCCTACAACACCAAAACACCACTGGTTAGCAAACAAGCACCCAAACAATCACCCCATATCCGATCAAGGGGAATAATGTCTCTCTCTTGACTAACGGAAGATTCATCGACTTCATCTGCTCATTGAGCCCAGCCGCCGGCGAACTCGGAATGTCCCTCTGCATCTCCATCCTCCTCCTCAGCCCCCCACTCCCCGGCGTCTTGCCGCTGCCGCTGCCACCCAGGAACCTCGCAGACGCAGACCCGGGCGTGCTCGGCACCAAGCCGTCCAGCATGCCAAACACATCCGCGCCTCCTGCTCCTCCTCTACCGCCCGCCTTGGGCCTCGGCGTCGGCGCGCTCTTCCTCTCGCTCTTGAGCTGCACCCGCCGCTGCGCCTTCTCCAGCTCGTCCTGGATGCTCTGCTTCAGGCCGCGCACGCCGTCCAGCGTCACCGCCTGCGCGTCCGCGTCCATCTTGATGCAGTACGACTCCCACTTGAAGTAGAGATCCTCGGCCGAGATGTCGTGCAGCCGCGCCATCGACTGGAGCTCGCCGAGGACGTCTGCCTCCAGGGCGCCGTTGGGAGCGAATCGAGCTTGCATTTCGTCGGCGGCCATGGCGGGCCGGTTTGGCGAAGCTGGCGGGCTTCTTTCGTTGCTACTTGTCTAGTGATTCAGTGAGAGCACTAACAGAATTGTTGTAGTACTAGTTGCACCGATTTCGGTTCGTCCTTTCGGTTCGTCTTTGGCAACAAGAAGCTCTCTGTTGTAAGTTTGTACGTTGAGTGTAGTGGGGGTTTGAAAGTTGGAGGACGTGGAGACGCGACGCGTTAAGTGGCAGAGCTCACGAGTTGGAGGTACAACGAGCATGTACCTTTGAGCCCAACTCCCGACTCCCTCCCGTCTTCCAGACTATTACAGGTATTACAGGTATACCAAGTGATAGTACGGACAGTAACGATACCCTTTCGAGTCAATTCGCCTACTGAATATCTAGGTAGTGTGATAAGATTGTCAAGAGGAATTCAGCATTGGCGTAGAGCGAAAGGCAATCTAATCTGTAATACATTCTCAAATCCCCATCTGTTGCAATTCGAACGTTATCAAGCGCGCCCTCTTACACACCATTTCACTCGCGAGTTACCTCCCAGATACATATCAGAGGCGGACACAGGGCATGTAATGTATCATGAAAATTTGAGCGTTGCTCTGGTATCGACTATGCTAAAGCACTTGATGACAAGTGCCACTACAGTAAAGGAAATCAAAGGGGCAAAAAGAGTGACAGCTCTCTCTTCTTGACTGCAAGAGACCAAGGACTCAATGCCACCCGTGTAGGAGCTCGTTTGTAAAACCAATCCCAAACTCCATGCGCTAAAAGGTAAGAAACCAACATCAATCATCAAAGTACCGTATCCCTTGTTCTCACCGCGATTCCCAAAGGGACATCACTTGAGCTTCATCACACTGTCCATCCAGTCACCAATGTTACTAGTGACGCCGTCATAATCAAATGTCAATCCCGTAGACCCGGCTCTAGACGGCGAGCTGGGCATCAGATTATCCGTGCTCAACAGGCTAAAGTCAAAGCTTTCCTCCATGTGCCCGAGGCCTTGCAGGCTGCTGAGGTCAACCTCATTCTCGCCGGTCCCCAGCATGTTGCCCTCCGAAAGCAATTGTACAATGCTTCGACTAACGGGTGAATCAAAGACATCGAAGCTCCCCTGATGGGCGCGCGGGCTGCGTCTCCGGGCGCTGCTACCGGGCACTCTCAGCATGGACCTTGGCGTCTTAGTGGGGGTCTGCTGCTCGAGAGCATGCTGGTTAGGCGAAACAATCGACTTAGCGGACCGCAAGGACCGTGAAACACTTCTAGTGATGGGCCTGTGGCTTGGGGTAGGTCGTGTAGGCGTCTTGAAAGCCTCGGCCTGAGGATGTGCTGCGTCGGGCGGTGGGGTGGACGGCCGCTCTTTAAGCGGGCTGTTGAAGAGAGCCTCTAGATCGTCTAGTTTGCCGGTGCTCCCATGCGACCCGGCCACGACGGCGAGGGCGACATTCTCTTGGTCTCCTTTGACGTGCTGTCCCGGACGATACTCTGTAGTTTGGACAATGTTGATGTCAACATTGCAAAGCACTTTCGGCACTCCTTCTTTCCTTGGAGAAGGGAACAGCAGTCTCTTCGTGCTGCCGGCCATTTCATCAAAGTCAATGTCGATGGGGCTTTGAGCTGTTCCGCTGCCCTGGGAATGAGATGATCCTGGCTGGGATCGCACTTCCAGGTCAATGTTGCCGTTGCCGTTGCCGTTGCTGTCAGCCTTGTCTTTGTCCTGGCTTCCGATGCGCTCTGTCCTCTGTGATGGGTTTGTGTCGAGCGGAATCACCTCGCCCATCTTCGGCGATGAGGGTGCAATTGGGTCCAATGCGTCCGTGGTCAAGTACGCTTCCGAAGTGAGGTTGAAAGGAGCATCGTCCTTGGGACGATTCTTCTTCGGGCGAGATGTGCTTCGGCCGGTGCCTCTCTTCCGCCGCTCCTGACCGAGCCGGGACGCATCTTTGTCCCATCTATCTGGGGGGCGGTGAGTCTTGCACTTGGTCAGCCAGATGCCGCACGGATTGCAAAGCAGGGATTCCTGCCACTTGGCCTTCTCATCGGTAATGGCTAGACTCTTCTTGACGACGCGATGCAGGGTTGGGTTGCCGTCCTCATCGCGCTGCAAAACCTCCACTGCCGTAATCTTGCCAGGCTTCTCGGAGTATTCACAACGCTCTGGGACGCCGTCGCGCTCTTGGATCCAAATCTTCCTCCAAGTGGGAGTTTCAATGGCACCGCAATTGCTGCAGAAGGGGGGCATCTCCCCATTATTGATCGCCTCTTCGAGTCGCTGCTTAATGGCATGCTTCTTCACGATGTTCTTGTTGGACCTCTGTGCCGGAGGTGAAGAAGGCGGCGGAAGGGCATCGCTTGGCGGACAGGATTCCTCCGGAGCTGCTTGGTTTGCCGAGGGCGCATGGTCTACTGCAGACTCGGGGAGTGGCAAGGCGAGCGGCCCCATGGAGCTCGGCCGACGCATGTCGGCGCCCCCTACCGAGGATGGGCGACCCGAGGCGACGGCGGGAGGCTGAGACAAGGTCGAAGGGCCGATGGGATCGCTAGCTGGAGTTGATGGTAATACGAGTGGCCCTGCGGATTGTGATCGATTCAGCTGACGAGGATGCTTGGGTTTGTTGGAGTTCTGCGGTTTCGGTTGAGGAGGCTGTGAAGATCGAGAGGGCGGTTGGAGAGGCGGAGGTGCTTCGTCTCTCGACGAAAATGTAGAGGCGAGCTGAACTATGGGATCGTAGAAGATGTCGTCTGTGAGATCGCCAAGCTGCGAGAGCTCCGGCGTAGGCGTCGTGGTTGCAAATGATTCGGGAGGTGGTGCTGCGGAACTTGGTGCTGGGCCTTCGGCGGCGTTGGCGGGAGATGTGGCGGTGGGAATAGGCACAAAGATGGGCTCTTGGATGGAGTCAGGAGCGCGAATGGTTTGGGGAAGAGGGATAGGAGTCGGAGCTTGGATTGGAGCTGGCGTGGAGGTCAGATTGGGGCTCATGGCCCGTTCAATGGCGTCGGTTGTAGGTGGTGGAGTGGGAGCCAAGTTTGGTGATGTCGCGGTCGACTGCGGCCTCTTCCTCTTTGTACTTTGGGCGTTGGGCTGTGGTCGGCTCGATTCTCGCCTCGCTGGAGGCAAAAGGGAGCTTTCAGTGGGGGCTGGTGTGTTGGATGTAGGATAAGGGGTATTGTAGGTCCTAACATGTACCAGATCCTGGCCGCTGGGGCCGTCCTGGAGCTGGAAGACCTGAACGGGCACGCTCTGCTTAGGAGCACTGTGTGTGCGCGGTTGCGGTGGTAGCTCCTCCATGTTGGACGGGTCTCCTTCTCCAAACAGCTCGCTCACGTCATTGCCCGACATGCTATGCTCTTGACGAGCCATTGCCGGCATGGGGGGCAGCACCGGGCTTGAAGGGGGTGGGCTGGACCGCATATAGGGCGTAGCCTGCTGAACGGGTGGCGAGGATCCGATATCTGCGGGACTGTCCTCGGGGTAATTTGGCGTCGGGGCCGTAGAGTCTGGCGATCTGTCGTCGTCCATCATGCCGGGAGAAGGGAAGCCACCCATGTCGCTCGTTGCAAAGCTTGATACAGGCCGCTGGCTCAGCGCGGATTCGCGTCGCTTGAGGGAGCTGGGCTCCCGTCCTGGTACAGCCCTGAGACGACCGTTAGGAACGGGTGTGGGAGCTCGAGGGACCTCCTGCAGATGGCTACCTGTCACACTGTCGCTGTTGATGGCAAGAGGCCGGAAGTTGCGCAGGGAGCTGGAGTTGCTAGCAGCCACCCTGAGGGATTCTGGCTCGGCGGCGAAGGGAGTCGCGTCTGCCTTGTCCACCTTGGTCACCTTGGCCCTCTTTTTGACGGGCTCGTCCTCCTTTGGGAGTGCGGCTTCTTCTCCTTCGGTTCCATCCTCATAGCCGGAAGTGTTGCCTTCATTGGGCTTCTTTCGTGGCCTGCCCCGTGGCCTGCCCGTGGGTGGTTTCCTCCGCGGTGGTCGATTCGACGCTCTGCTAGATGGTCGTGAGGACGGCGCAGGAATGTTGGGCAATGGTTGAGACTGGGTGTCGACAGGCATGGGAGCAACCCTGGCTTGCTCTTGGGCGGGCGAATTCTGATTGTAGCTTGGCCCAAAGGAGCCTTGCCTAACCAAGGGCGGCGGCGGCCCTGGAGGTAGCGCATGAGCCATGGCTGGTGAATGGCTGTTATGCATAGGAGGCGGAGGGGGGCCACCGTAGCTGTGGTTTGCCTGCTGGGACACGCCCTGGGAGTTGGACTGGATCAGAGAGTTCCATTCTGAGGCGGCATGTGGCGGCACGGCTTGCTCCATGGGCCTCGCAGGCTGCTGGTCCACGGGAGGAGGAGCATATGTGACAGAACGCTGGATCCGTGTCGTCTCAGACAGCTTCAATCTGACCTCCAGGGTCTCTCGATTTCCGCCGCCAAACACACCCAGTATATTCCTCGTGACACGGCCTGTCACCATCTTGGGCTGGTAGTTGCCAAAGTCGGGCCGCATCGACTGGAAAACCCATGAGAGCAGGCCCTGCCCGACCAGAGGGAAGTCGGGCTCTGAATAGTCGATTGCGTAGATGGTGTAGTCGCAGTCGTGGTTGGTCAGCTCCGGGCTGCACTCGGCAATGACGTGCACGCACGCCCTCAAGTCGACGATGCCAATGGTGTTGCTGTCGTCGACGGGCACGGTCTGGACCTGCAGCGGCTGAGAGCCTCTGGCCAGGCATTTTTCCTTGGCCTCTCGGTCGAATGTGTAGTGCACCTTCACTGTCGGGGCTGAATTAGTCGCTGGCGGCCAACCAAGAAGACATGGCACGCGCAGGCGGGCACGAGCAGAGCGACAAGGCGATGGACGGAGAGAGAGCGCGTACAGTTCATGAACTTGGTCTGCAGACCATACTCGTCCACCGTCTCGCCAGCGGCAGGCGGTTGGTTCCAGCCGCTCGAGTGAGCCGGCATTGGTGAAGCCATGGCGAACAGAGCCTCGCCCTCGGCCGCTGCGTCGCCCTTTGGGGGAGAGATGAAGCTCCTGCTGCTGGGGCTGGCGATGCGAGGTCTGAAAGAGGTGCTTTTTCTGGCGAGGGTTGAGGAAAAAGGGAAGTGGAGAGTCCAGTTGCTCGGTTGCTGGAGAGGCTTGTCTTGTCCTGGTAACCGACTCAAATGGGAGAGGCGGGTTTCATGTTCGTGACGCGCCAAAATACCTGCAGGTCGCGTCTCTCTGCGTAAGTGGATCTGGTGAGCTGTAGTACCTATGGAGTGAGCGAGTGCGCGCAGAGACCCCTCTATCGGCTTGTCTAAGGTAACATAAGGGAAGACGGGGCAGCAGAAGAGGAAAAAGAATGCAAATGAGGGCCCGAGTCCACGTTGCTACAGAGACACGCAGGGAAGCGGGCCGAGAGAAAGACAGGAAGAGAGCGGTTTTCTTTGTTCTGGTGAGAGGGCAGCAGATGCAGCAGATAAGGTGAAGCTGTGGTGGATGTGTAAGGTACCTTATAGGTAAGGAGGTACCTTACCTTATTGGACCGTCTTGTCACGTCGCCAGCGAAAGCGTGTACTACCTCAACGCGGCGGCGTGCCTTGGCCGGTACGTGAGCAGTACCTTGCGATGGCTAGCCGCGCCACAGCAGGTCCAGGTAGTCGTCCGGTGCTTTTTGACGTATGGGGGACAAACAAACAAATGGAACAGCCCGCACCTTGTATTATTAGGTAGTAGTAGTAGAGCCTTTTTTTTTTTCCAGTGAGAAAGTGCCTGCAGCAACAGGCGTGTCTCGGCAGTGAACAAGCCTGGGCTAGCACAGGGCCTGGAATGCGGGTGCTTTGATAGGCTCGACTGCAAAGTGCAAGTGCAAGCGCAAGGGCTTCCAAGCTTCCTTCCTAATCGTCAGCCTAGCCGCGCCCTCGGCCGATACAGAAGACCCCACCTACCCAATGGAGCAGTCGATCCTCTCGCTGGTTGGTGCGTCCGGCTGAACCCCGGAAGCGGATGCGGCGCCGGAGAGGAGAATCTGGGCTTTGGCTTTCTTCGGACAAGGACGTTCCAGCAAACAGGCCCGTTATCTTACACGCTCTTTGTTCTGTTGCCGAACAAACAATGGTGCTGGCGGGCGGCCCGGGCAAAGAAGCTCCGGTTGAGCTGGCAATTCGACACGGGAAACAGGGAGGCAACAAGCAGCAGAAGATGAATCTTTCTGTTTCCTTCTTTTCTCTCCCTTTCCTTCCGGGGCCAGGAGAGCAGAGCTCTGTAGGAGAGAGGGGGACTGCCGGCCCCCTTTTATAGTTTCCTGAGTCGACTTGACGCCATCTTCAGAGGTCTTCTTTTGCCCATCAGCGTCTGTTCCCCCCCCCCCTCCTCCACAAAATGGCCATCCATCTCGTGACGTGGTTTTCTCCCTGCGTGTTTTAGGCTGCAATACCGTCTTATTGCCCCTCCATGGTGTTGCTCGCCCTGCCGCCTTTTTTTTTTCTTCAGCACCGAAAATGAGGCCGGTCTTTTTCTTGTCTCTCGCCCGCTGTCGATGACGCCGATGGTTTATACCTCCACCGCAACTTGCGGAAGCACACGGGCGCGAACCATCTCCGCAGTATTTATTATCGACACACGCACTATCACGACATTATCACTTGTGTTTTCATTTTGTCACACCCAGTTGCATGGACATGTTTTATCACGTTATTTTTACTTTTTTCACTATTGTACATGTATCTGCTCCTTTTATTTCATTCCTGCATTCATCTTGCCCCTATTCCCCTCCTTTTCTCATAGCCGACTTGTAGCTGTCGCCTCATCAGCCACCCACTTGGCCTTGCCCTGCTCATCAACAGTGACTTTACGGCTGATGATCTCGTCCACAACCTCGGCCACGCCTTGTCGGTTCTTTCTCGACGCCTTGACCTGCTTGGCGAGCTCCGCCGGCGTCAGAGAGGTGCTGGACACGATGGCCTGAATCTCCCTCTCGGTCGGCACACCGAGCACGGCGTAGGGGTACTCGGAGTATGTTCGGTCGGTGAAGAGCTTAAGTCCGGCGTCCTTGTCAAAGGTGAAGAACGGCTTGGCAACGTTCTCGCTCGCGGGGATGTCCTCGAGGGACGCGGGCTGCCACTTGGCATCCTCCTTGCGCACCAGCAGCGCCGTCACACCCTCGGTGAAGTCGTGGTGCTGCATGAACTTGGTGGCAATCTGATGCTCCTTCTCAAACGTCTCCGAGATGCTCCATTTGCCGCCGACGCGCATCTGCCTGAGGGCAACATGCACGGCAGTGGGCGATCGCTTCTTGAGCGTTGCCAGCTGCTTCTGCGCCCACTCCTCGGTCTGACCCCGCTCTTCCTTCAAGGCAGCAATGATGTCATCCACGTTGTTCTTGCTGAAGCATCGGTCGATGGCTCGTCGTGTCTCGCCGCTCAGCGAAAAGGCCTGGTCGTATGGCAGACCCGTGCAGAACTCCTCCAGTGTGTCGTTGATGAGCTCGAGTCTGCGAGGCAGAGGGTCCTCATCGCGGAAACGCAGCTCCGCCAGACGTGCCTCGAGATCCGGCAGACTTGACGAGTGTAGGTAGTGAGTAGCAATGCCGCTGTAGAAGACGTTGGGTCCCGTGAGCCGATCGCTTGTCAGCGCGAGGTAGGTTCCGATGGAGCCGTTCATCCGAGGCAGGAAAAAGGATGCACCGACATCGGGGAAAAAGCCAATCGTCGTCTCGGGCATGGCAAACATGGTCCGCTCGGTCGCGATTCGGAAGGGCGCGTGGATGCTCAGGCCAACGCCGCCGCCCATTGTGATGCCGTCCATGAAGGCGATGTAGGGCTTCTGGTATGTCGCAATGTAGTGGTCCAGCTGGTATTCAAGGGCAAAGTATTCCGCCGATTTCTTCCACCCGTCAGGGCTCTCCTGGTTGTACTTGGCCAGTTCCGCAACATCACCGCCAGCGCAAAGAGCCTTCTCGCCCGCGCCCTTCATGACAATGACGTTTGCCATGTCTGACTTCTCCCACTCAATCAACCGCGGGACGATCTTGCGGATCATGGAGCCATTGAGGGAGTTGAGCTTCTTCGGCCGGTTCAGCAGCACCGTTCTGAGCCCGTACTTGCTCTCGAAGACGACATCGTTGGGCTCGTCGCCGGGCAGCTCCTTGACGTTGTAGGCCTCGGGGGACAGCTTTTTATCGGCTCAATCAGCATCTCGCCACACACACACACAAAAAGGGCACTGCTCCTTGCTTACCGGTCGTGCGCCGAGTGATGAGCTCATGGCTCTGCTCAACTGCGCCATGCCCATGCTGCTGCGGTAGCTGCTCCGGCCCGCGGCATTCGCTGCCACGCCAGCTCGAGCCGCGAATGTTCGGAAGGACATTAGAAGGCCAAGTATACAAGACGCACCCTCGAGGCGAAGTCTGTGAGATATCTAGAGCATCTAGAGAGCTAGACGACGAGGACAAGATCCGGATCGATGAACCTCGCTCGGGTCACTGCGCAAGAATACCTGGAAGCAGCTCCACCCGTCGTTCTGAAAATTGGCCCGCCGATTGCCGATAAGGAACGTGGAGGAGCGGCTATTGAGGTACCTAGGTACGTATCTAAAGTACCTTTCAATTCGCGGCATCTGGATCACGTGCTGGCGACAAGGTCATCTAAAAGAGCTTACATAATTCCAGCGCAAGAACGAGCGTTCCCACAACACACCGCGACACGAGCCAATCATCGTCAGCCGCCCGCGATACGCCTCGCCTTGCAACTTTTCGGAGCTTCGACAGCTTCAATGCCCAGCCTTGCGCACGCAACTCCATCACGCGCGAACATCACCGAGTCCGACCCCCAACAGCAACAATGGCCGATCCCAAGATCCAGTGCGTCTCTCCCTATTGCTTCCTTACCGTCAATGACCACTCCTCGTGCTAACTCGACTCTCTCTCTCTCTCTCTCTCTCAATAGGGAACTCCTCACTAAGTCTCGCTCGGAACTCACGTACGCTTCCTCCTCCTCCTGTGCTTCATCAACGCACTCTCCCGACGGACATAGTAGAAGTAGGAAACAGACAAGCTAACATTTTCTTAAACAGCGAGTACGAAATCGCCCAGCTCGAAGAATACGAATTCTCCTCCGGCCCCCTCTCCATCCTCCAGACGGCCGTCCGCTCGCACACCCAGGTCCTCATCTCCATCCGCTCCAACCGCAAGCTGCTCGCCCGCGTCAAGGCCTTTGACAGGCATTGCAACATGGTCCTCGAGAACGTCAAGGAGATGTGGACGGAGACGCCCAGGTTAGCGGACGGCAAGAAGGGCCGGCCGGTCAACAAGGACAGGTTTATCAGCAAGATGTATGCTCTCTTCTCCGATTTCCCAAACTTCCCTTCTCCCCCCCTTTCCGTGGCGTCGATCAGACTCGGCCTTGAGCCCTGATTCGCGCGAATGAGGGGGAGAACAAGGGGGACGATGGGCTGTATTTGGCTTGAGATAACTGACGTGTTGCAGGTTCCTGAGAGGTGATAGCGTCATCTTGGTCCTTCTGAGCTAGAGTTTACACGAATCTGCTTTGGTCTGTTCCTGGGGAATTATTTAATCGACATTGAGCTGTTGGATGACGGAATCAACATCGCGAGAGACTCAACAAGGCGAATATAGGCGTTGATAACAATTTATTTTCGGTTGCTTTCAAAAGCACACGTGGTCATGCCTGCAAACAGAACCCTGGGCCGATATACCTGGCCTCCCAAGGCTGACTACTACTACCCAAATGATCTCGATCCACTGCCATGCCAAACCTTCAGATAGATTCCCAGCCCTCTTCAGTCGGCTTTACGCCTCCCAGACCCAAGAAAAAGCAGGCCAATCCCCAAGCACCGGGATCAGGCACCTGCTCATATCCGCTCCCGCCCACATACACCGACCGCCCAAGGCTCGCCTGCATGCCCTTTGTCTCGTCGGCGGCCTTCCTCGCCGCATCCGCAGCCTTCTTCACGTCCCCAGTCCGGCCCAAGACCTCGACAAAGGGATAAAGCGCGTCCACGAGCGTTCGATCGCCAGGTCGAGCAGGGGTGTACTTGGACAGGGCCTCGCAGCTGAGCTCCAGGGCGGCGGACCACACCGAGGGGCCGGCCTCGCCTGTGCCCAGGGTGCGGAGAGCGTGGACGAGGGCGTTGAGGAAGATGGCGTATAAGGCGCCGGATGTGCCGTCCATGGCGGTTTCTACCACCTGCACTATGGACGCTACGTCAACGACGACGTCTCCCGTCAGGGGTTTCTGCTGAATGTGCTTCAAGATGGCTGAGATTGCAAAAAAAGTCAGCGTGACATGCTCTGTATCTGAGATTGGAGCGCAGATGCAGCATTTGGCGTGACCTACCTTCGGCTCCTCTCTTGAGGCCAATACCACAGTCTCCGTCGCCAACAACCGTATCGTACTTTGTAACCTCGGGCTCGGCCGCAATCACGCGCTCCAGCGCATTCGTAAGCACACTCGTAGCGTGCTGAGCGTCCATCCGCAATCCGCTCGGCTCAATCTCAATGTTCTCGCCAGCAGAGCCTGTCCTCGTGGCAGTGTTCTTTGCCTCCCAAGACGTCTTCTGTATAGGTGCAGACCAGCCGGTGACCTCGCTGGGAGCATCCAACAGCTCAATCATGCTCGGCCCGCCAATGTCGGTGTTGACGACATTGAGGAGCGTGATGCTGAATCCCTGGCCGTTCAAGCTCGTCATGAACGTGCCGCTGATGATGCGGACTGGTCGAATGTTATACTTGTCGTTCAACTGCTTCACCACTTCCGCCGTGATGCCGCACAGCTCCAGAACACTAACACCTCCGAGATTGTTGATGAGCAGAACGACCTCGTTCGAGTTGACGTTTAGAAAAGCTCGGTCCTTGTCGCTCTGGTCGAGCAGCTGGGCAAGCATCCTCTCCACCAGCTGCGGCAGCTCCATCTTCTCCCTACTCGACCCCGGCTCGTTGTGAATGCCCATTCCGACCTCGACTTCCTCCGGCGCCAGGCCCTCGCTGGTATCAACGACCCGTCCGGGAACGTGAACATGCTCCAGACTGGCGCCGACGCTGACGAGGTTGGACGCCACCAGCCGAGCAACCTTTGCCACGTCTTGCAGCGATCGTCCCTGCGCGGCGAGAGCACCCGCAATCTTGAGCACCAGCACGGTCCCCGCGATTCCTCGTCTTCCCACTTTGCCCGTCTTCTTCCTCCCCACGCCAACGTCGTCGCCCACAACGACCATCTCGACCTGCTTGCCAGCCGCAATGGCCTTTTCCACAGCCATGCCAAAGTTGAGGATGTCGCCCGTATAATTCATCACCACGACCAGCACGCCCTTGTCCGTGTCCACCCGTGACATGATGCCCGTCCTCACCTGCTCCGCAGACGGGCTCGCAAAGATGGTCCCCGCCACGGCGGCAGAGAGCATGCCCGGGCCAACCATGCCTGCAAAGGACGGCTCATGGCCGGATCCTCCGCCCGAGACGATGGACACTTGCGGGGCATCGCCGGTTGGACGGCGGTAGATGATTTTGTTGGCCGGGTCGAGGGCAACGTTGGGGTTTGTCAGCGTCAGGCTGTGGAGGGCCGTGTTGACGAGGTGAGTCGGGTCGTTGATGAAGTGCTTGGTAGACATTATGGGCGGGTTGGAGGGGGGCTCAGGTTGAGAGGCAGCATGGAGGGAGGGAGACATGGAGGAGGATGATGATGATGATGATAAAGAGTGAGAGTGAAAGAGAGAGAGAGAGAGAGAAAGAGGCAAAGACACGCTCAATCAATATAGTTTGGTGAATGAACTGAAATGAAAGGGTCTAGAATTCTATCAAGGTGCTAAAAGACTATATAGCAAGTGGTCTGATTTTGAGTGACGTAAGGTAGGTCTGTCTGCATGTCCGATGGCGATGACACTCCAAAGCTGAACGAAAATGGAATCCAAAGAAAAGGGCGGGGAAGCTCCAATCTCTAGGCATCATGGCGGGGTTGAAGCCACAAGTCCGGAGAAGGTCGAGACGCCAAGTCGCTTGTCATGCACCACTCTCACCTTACCTCGGGTGTACCTCTTGACTTGGTATGCCATCCAGCTTACGACCAAGTACCTCTGACTTTGCGTAGTATGCTGGTTATATCAGCGGGGAAGATGCAGGATTCAACCTTAAATTAATTCGGTTTGATTGGATTTGATTGTAAAGCGGGCATTGATTGGACGTGGACGGATTGCCACTTTGCGGCCCGTCCCCAACAAGGCTTGTTCAGCACCCATTGATTAGCACAAGAGAAGAGATGATCCAAGCTTCAATGTCACTGCTGCTCTCCATATTTCAAACCGAAGCTTTGTTCTACCACCTGCGGAGCTCAGACCTCCCTTGGCTTCTGGTACTGGCCACAACTAATAAACATGAAAACATGAACGATGACTGTGGCATATCTCGACCTCAATACATAGCCAACTATCTCCAAACGGCATCGCTTGTGTCGCCAAGTCAAGTCGCAGGATGCCTTCAGTCATAATGTCGTGCAATTCTGATATCAGGCTTTGCCCGTTGTCTAGCTAGGGTAGAACTTCCAAGATGCTACAAATGAACAAGTAGGTAGGCAATGATGAAGACGGCAAACAAGTGACAATGGCCGGGTTCCACATCGCCACGATATGAACCTATTCACACGACAAACCAAAAGAAGGGGATCAAGAAATGTATATCCAAGGCACTCCCAAAACGCCAGCCACAAAGAGCATCCATCCTGCGCTCTAATACCTCGGGACTTGTGAGAAAATCAAAAAAAGAGCATGTGCTGTACAAGACCAACACATGAATATGTATAGAGAAGCACATCCACATAGCTTTCTCTTGTTGGACCGCTGTGCTCTTCTTTACAACAGCAGCACTGCACTGCCGCCCAGGACACTGCAGAGCAACAGGAGAGTGAGAATGGCTGCTCCAACCTTTCCGCCCGTCGTCGGCTTCGTAATCTTGTCAAGATCGCCAGCCGGGTCGATGTTGCCCATACCAGCACCAGGGTCACCCTTGGAAGTACCGCCCTTCTTTTCTGTGACGGGGGCAGGGGCCTTTTGGACCAGAGCGTAGATGACAGCGTCCAAGGCGTTCATTTGCGAGCCAACACCGTTCTTGCCATCGTATGTGCCCTTGGGAATCCACGTGAAGCCGCACCCTGTACCATCAATTCCCTTAAAGGTGGGCGAGGCTGGGCCTGTGCAGCTGGATGCCGCCGCAGAGGCAGCAGTCTCGATGAGGGGCATGAGCGTCGGGATGGTGTGCGGAGCCAGCTGGATGGTGGAAGCCATGTAGCGAATCAGATAGCCCTTGAAGGTGCTCTGGTCAACACTGCAGAAGCCTCGGGGCTCGCAAAACTGCTCGTAGATGATGCCGTTGTTGACAAACTTGGCGACCGTCTCCTTGACCATGCCGTCCAGGTTGGCCTTCCAGGTGGCGTTGTTGGTGAAGTTGTACATGGCGGCGGCGCCATGCATGTAGATGCCTGCGTTGTAGGACCACTGGTTCTGATCCATCTGGCCGCACGTGTTGTCGCTGTCGATGCTGAGACCGTCAAAGATCTGGTATTGCGGGCCAATCAGGCCAACCTTCTTCTCCCAATCCCAGACCTTGAGCGCCCAGTCGGCATAGGTCTGGTTGCCGGTGTATCGGGCCAGTCGAGCGGCAATGTTGAAGAAGCAGCCGTTGGCAACGGAGTTTTTGTAGTCGTAACCCTTGTTCCACGAGAAGATCTGCCAGCGGAGGCCACCGCCACAGTGAGGGTCCCATCGGCCGACGTACTGGTTGAAGACGGCCTGTGCCATGGCCAGCCACTGCGGTTGATCGGACGGCGGGTTGGGGAAGACATCCTCGGCGGCGGACATGGCGGCCATGGCCCAGAAGCCCTGATCGTCGTTTCCTTCGGTCAGCGACTGGTTCGTGGGCAGAAAGCTGCCGTCGGTTCCGGCCTGGTGAAGCATGGCTTGCATCGTGACGTCGTTGTATGTCGTATCCTTGGTCATGCGCCAGTAGTCAATCATGGTTCCGAACAGCGCACCGGCCTCCCACCCTGTCTCCCATGGTTAGCATCGAGACTCGCGAGAACAGGCTGAAGGAGGGAAGGGTAAAGCGGGTAGGATTTCTAACAGTAGTATGGGTCGGGCAAGTTTCCGGGGGTATCGCCAGTATTGTTTCCGGTGTAGTACTTCATGAGGCCAAAGGCAATCGTGCTCGCGGCGCTTTTGATCGAGTCTGGAGCAGCTTCGGTCAGCCATGTCTTGTTTGTTCGTTGCGCTGCGGGAGCGCCTCATTCCGTCTTACTGTCGTCGTTGATAGTCAGAGAAACGGCCGTCGCCCCCTGACCCAGCAGGCACAGGGCCGCTGTCGCAGCCACCAGAGGAGACTTCATGGCGTGCAGCAGGTTTAATACTCAAAGTATTCCAGACTTGTCGAAGAGGCGTCTATATGCAGTTCTAGTGGATGGGAATAGCAAGTCGTCCAGATCCAGTCTGTCCAACAGGAAAGCAAAGCGGCGCGAGTCGAGGGTTCGCAAGATTGTGTCAGACTGCGATTCGCTTCCACCGGGGTATCGCAACCGAAGAACTCAGCAGGTTGAAAGAGAGTCAAGAAGTGAGAGCGAGAGATGCAGCTTAGAAAATGAGCGGCTGTTGCTAGGACAAAGCTCTATGCAATGGCGAAAGGCGGACGTAGAACAGGAAAAAGACGTGAGGGCTCAAGGAGATCGCCGCCGCGCGTCAAACGAAAGTGGTCGCTCCACTGCTTACATACAAGCCTCACAAGGGCTCGACGCTTAATAGAGATGGAAAACGAGAATGAGAGAAGAAAGAGTGTGGCGGCGAGGAAGCATGCGAATCAGCACGCGAAAGCCAAGGAAAAGGGTACGAAGTGGTGGTAGGGGGGAAAGCGAATAATGCGGATGTGCAGAAGAGTTAAGGCGCGTCATTTTCATTTGGAGCCAGCGGGAAAAGGGTGTCAGTGTATTAGTCGTGGGTATACGAGTTGAGCGCATGGGCTCACCTGGTTGGCCGCAGGTGCAATTTCACCGTCCTGCTAGCATCGCCAGAGAGCCGCGCCCCCCCCTGGCTCGTCGAGTTTCGAAGCCCCATGAAGCCCGGCTCGACTGGGAAACTTGGGGCAAACGGCCTGAAACGCCGCACGGAGGTGGTGCGTCTCCATCTTGGTGCGGAGGATGGATGATCGCTGCTCGTCCATCAAGCAACCCTGCCTGCCTGTGCGAGTTCTGTGCCTGCTGGATGCCACAGCCCCGTGGACTGCTATGAGAGCCTGGAAGCCAAGAAGTGCAAAGCGGAAAGTAACAAGACGTCCAAAGGATGGCCCTCGCACGAAGCATGAGGTACAGGAGCCGCGGCGGCACACTGGAGGCAGTGCTGCGTAATTGCTACGGAGCCGAGATTCCGGCAGCGAACGAGACCGGCAATACGCACATTCTCCAAGGGGGATTCGCAGAGAAGATTGCCTCTATGAAGCAAGGTAGCAGCAGCACCCCGTATCCAGGTCTCGTCCTCCGTGCTGAGCCATCGCCAAGCCCAACTCGAAAAAGGTAGTAGTGCTTCGTAATACCGTATAGTGCATAGGTATATTGCTGCTTCATCTCGAGAAACCTCATCACCGCTATGTCTGTTGTCGGGATCTCATCACGAGTATCACCTCCTTTCCATGGCCATCATGGCAGAGGTCCTCCAAACGTACACATTAGCACACCACTGGAACCGTGCAAGGCAACGGGGGCCACAGGGAGTGGACGAAAGCACAAGCTGCTGTCAACCAAAGTTGGGCTGGTTTCAAGCCAAAGAGCGCCAGCCCCCTGGCTCGGTTCGATCGCCTCTCTCAAACCACTGGACCGACATGTGAGGTGGATACAGTCCCAGGCTGAGGCTGTGCATCAGCGGCTAGTGTCCAGTTTTGGCAGCTTTAAGGTTGGCCACGGCAGAGCATTAACGAGAGCTTGGCAACTTGGCATTCGACGAGTTTGCTGCAGCGTGTGACAGCGATGCGATGGGCTAGCCGGCGGCCGCTGGAATTCATTGCTAAAAGTTCGGACATGAGTTGCGGCTTCTAGAAATGTCGCAGAGCGGTTCAGTAAGGCAAGTTGGCGAACTTCTGGGCTTGGTGGCAGTCTCTTCGTATTCTCTGCAGAAGCCATTTTCCTGACAGAGTAGGCGCTGTGTAAACAAAAGGGTACCTGGATCGGGCTGCCTGCTGTGTGAAACGGTGGACAGGCTGCGGTTCAGGTGGTGACGAGGCTGTGCTGGCCTTGGCTGGTACTGCGTTTTCAGCTGGAGATGAGATGATGGATCGTGATGAAGAAGAAGGAGGAGGAGAAGAGGCAATGAGGTGGTCAAGAGGAAGGTTACATAGGAGGTACCTTCCAGGTAAGGTATAACGGAGCAGATGTAAGGCAAGGTAAGAACCTAAGGCGCGGCTCCTTCCTTTCGAAAGGGGGGATGAAACGGCCCGCACGAGGCACGAAACCATTCCAGGTTGTCATTGGCTGAACTGCACCTCCAACCTGCAGTTCCTTTACCTTGAGGTACATCCACAAGCCATTCTACGGGCTTCAGTCCACGGCAAACGACTTCAGCGGCATCACAATCTCGACAGGAGAGCCAGTTGAACCATTAACAAATCAATTGCAAGAGTCTACACTACACAGCTCAAGAGCACCCATCTACACAATCTGGAACTCTGGACCACTCCTGGTATCTCCGGGCAAAGACAGACAAAACAGACGGCATCTCGCTCGTCAAGGAAACAAGAAGAATCACGCTGGCCAAACATCCAAACCCGTGGCACCTCCGCCCCTTGAAAATTGGCAATCAACGTCCCCTCCCTCCCTTCTCTCAAGTCTACAACCTGATCCATGCCACCTTGCCCTTGAGATGATCAAAGATTCTCTTCCGCTCATTGTCCTGGACATAAGCGTTGTGCTTCCTGTTGATCCAGAGTAGCCGCGGCAGGTCCAACGTCCACTGCGGCCAGTGCGTCAACTGCGGCAGCTCCTCGCCTCCCTCGCCGCTCTCGACGCTCTCAATGCCCTTGTTGGGATTCTGGCTGTACATGAAGTTGATCAAGTGCGCGCGTGTGCTATAAGACGACGGCGCCGTAGCATATATGCCCTGGGCAAAGACCGAGTCCAAGAAGGAGCCGTGCGTGGTCCCGACGAGTCCCTCGTGGATGCTCATGTCGCCGTGGTTGTGCGAGTCCATGTATCCCCACATGGGCACGGAGGGATCAGCTTCAGCGATCAAGTGCATCGCGATGCGGCGCGGGAAGCTGAAGAAGATGTCGCCCATTGTGGAGGTGACCTGCTTCCGGCCGAGCCACGTCTCGAAGAATTCGCCAGTGCGGAACGGACTGCCGTCCTTTGGCTGGTCCGGGTAGAGATACGTCCATTCTCGGAATGCCGTTACATTGTCCTGGGTGAATTGGTAGAAGTAGTAGTTTTGGAGGTGGCCCCAGAGCTGATGACTCGCCTTGTTCTCGAGCAGCTCGTGATTCAGTGTGAAAAGGGCGGCTTCATCTTCCTGGTTGCCCAGAATCATGGGTACTTGCGCGAACTTGCCCTGCTTGATCAGCTCTTCAGGGCTGTCACGGAGCAGCTTGCCATCAGGCCGCGGGACAAATAAGAGCCTAAAGGCTTCGACGGCGTTGATGCCGGGGATGGAGTTGCTGGCCACCCAGAAGTCCAGGTCAGACAGGCCTCGCAAGCACTTCATCGAGTCCATTGCGACGTCGCATCCAGCAGCCGCGGAGATGGAGTCGTAGGTCAGCTGGGCTCTCACCGAGTCGGCAGCGTTGGCAGGCATGAGACTGCCAGAGCTCATGATGACGCCGTGGAAGAGCTCTCTGCCGTTGTATGTGATGTTGCCATCGTTGATGACAAGGTGGGAGAAGACGGAAACACCACCAGCGGCATGACCGAAGAGCGTGATCTTGCCCGGATCGCCGCCAAAGGCCTCGATGTTGTCCGACGTCCACTCCATGGCCATCCGCTGATCGTAGAGGCCCAGATTGGTCGCATCGCTGTAGGCGCTCTCGTTGCCAGGCAGGAAACCCCAGGCACCGACACGGTAGTTGGCCGTAACGAAGATGAATGGATGGTGGTTGTCGACGCCGAACTTGAAGAAGCCGGTCCTGTCGTAGGGCTCGGGGGATCCCATGACGAACCCGTAGCCGTGGATCAAGAACATGACCGGCAGCTTGTCTCCCGCCTTGGTGCCCGCCGGACGGGTGACCGAGATGGTCAGGCAGTCCTCCGTTGACAGGTGTTGTCGGACAGGGCCGTCCTCCTTCGTGCTTGTGTTATAACGCTCGACATACGCGTGTTTGAGGAGATCCTTGTGCCATGGGTAGTCTGTTGGGTTCGGCTCGATGTACCCTTCATGGCAGATGGGTCCCTTTCCGGAGGCGTCAAACTGACCCAATGGCTCTGTTCTTCTAACAGGCCTTCTCAATCGATTTGTACCGGCCGGGGACTCGGCGAACGGGATGCCGTTGAAGGTCTCGAAGCCCTCAAGTGACATACCCTGGATTTCGGAGCCGGGGAGCTTGACGGTGGGAGAGCCGCCATCTTGAGCCCAAACGGACCCGATCAAAGGAGAAAGGAAGAAGAGGGAGATAGCAAGGGTCTCCATTGTGCAGGAAATTTTGATATTGGAGGTGTCAAGATTCTTTGAATAAGATGATCTCGAACTATCAGAATGGAAGTCGAATGAAGAGTTCAATGGAAAAACAAAGGACATCGGACTTGGACGAAGAAAGAATTGGCTCTTTTTATACTGCTCCATGGAGACCCAATGGGACAGCCTTGAATTCAATTTCAATTGCTTTTTTTACTATATTTGTGTAGTGCGATTGAGGCTGGAAGTTTTATGCTTAATTGAGGCTTGATACCTAACCGCCGCCTCAAACTCAAAGTCTTCCTCAGAAGATCGGCTAGTTCACGAAGAGAGGCGAGCAGATGAAAGAGAACTTGGACTTAATTGGTTGATAATTGGAAAAGAAACAAGAGTCTAAGAGAAAAAAGAAGAGTATTGCTATTCGGGCTGTATAAAATTGCTATTCGGGCTGTAGTTCAAGTACCTGGAAATTTTCACTTAAAGTACTGCCCTTTAATCTATTTTTTTTACTAATAAGAAAAAATAAATAAAATATTTAAAAAAGTTATATAGCTTATTTAATATATAAAGTATTATAAAATATTTTAGTTAATATTTTAAAGCTATATAAAAGCTATACTAAAGCTAAAAAAAACTATACTAAAGTTTAAGCTTAATTTAAAACCTTTAAATAATATAAAAATAAGTAACTTTTTATATTTATATATAGCTTATTATATAAACTATACTATTTTTTAAAAATATTTATGTATATAAGTACTATTTACTAAAAAAATTTAACTTTAACTTAAGTTAAGTTTTTAATACTTTTATAAAAGGAAAACTATATATTTTAATAAATATTATTAAATTTTACTATAGAAATAATATATATATACTCTTTTTTTCTTTATATTAATTTTCTAGAATTTTATATTAATTTTTAAAGTATAGGAGTATTTTAAGGAAAAGTAATACATAGACCCCCACTAGGCTTAAAGTAGTTAGTTACAGCCTAAATAGCAATTTTATATAGCCTAAATAGTAATATATAATAAACCAGGTTCCTATAGTTAGTAAAAACACTATTTCCTAAGGAATAAACTATTTAAGTAAATAGCTTTAATAAGAGAGCTATTTAGGTTTATACTAGTAAAGAGTTAGGTTAATACTTAAAGCATATATAGTTATATAGCTAGTTAATACACTTATATAGTAAATATCTAGATTTTAATTTATTTATATTATAAATACTATTAAGTAATAATAACTAGCTATTTAAACTATTTAAATAAGTAATATAAATATAACTTATATATTTAGTTATTTTAATATCCTTAATATACTTAATTATTAAGTTTATTAAGTTATTTTTAATATACTTAATAGTTAATTTTATTAAGTAGCTTTTAATTAGCTAAATAGTTTAATATTTATTTAGTGCTGCTTACTAAAAGTAGCTTATTATTATAATTATAAGGCTAGGTTATAATATAATATCCCTTTTTTATTAGTTTTATTTTTAAAACCTTATTTATACTATTAAAACCTATAATTCCTCTTACTTTTTTATAAGTGTTTCTTATTTATATATTCTTTTTTTTATATATTAATTAAAATAGTTAATAATAAGTGTAAATATTTTAAGTTTTTTTAAGTACTTTAGCAGCATGCCTTAAAGCAGTTAATCTTACTTAAGCTATTAATTATAAAACCTTATTAATATTATAAAAAATATAATTACTAGTATTTTATATTAAAAGCTAATTTCTTTTATTATTTAAGCTGTATTTATTTTTAGCAGCCTAGCTATAAGGCTTTTAGTTTATTTATATCTTAACTTTATTATATAGCTAATAAAGGTGCTAATTTTAATTTTAAGCTAAAGCAGGCTAAAGAAGCCTAGCTTAAAGCAGGTATATATATTAAATATTTTTATATATAAAAGAAAAAATAAGCTAAAAAAATATAAAAGGCTATTACTTATAAAATTAATAATTTAAAAAAGTTAAAATATATAAAAAAGGTAAAGTATAAGGCAGCAGCAGCTGCTTATTAAGTAAAAATATCTATACTTAATTTAACTAATTTTAATATTTTAGTTTTTTTTATTAACCTTATTAATTAAGATTAGTTTTTATTAAATCCCTTACTATTAACCTTTATAAGTTTAACTATTAATAAAACTTATTAACTAAAGTTTTTAAGTATTTAAGATTTTTAATAAATTCTTATATATTATTAGTATTATTATAATTTTTCTATTTTATAAAGTATTTTAGCTATTAAGTATTTTTATTAAATTTAATTTAAAGTATTTATTTAACTTTATATTTAAGTTTTTTACTTTTTATTATAATTTTATTATAAATAATTTTACTTATATTTAAATTAACTACTGCTTTTTTAAATAGTAATATATAAAAAATTAAGTATATTAATTATCTTTATTATCCTTCTTATACTAAGAGATTAAGTTTATAATTAACTTTTTTAATTTGCCTTAAAACCTTATAAAGTCTAAGTTTTTTAAAATTAAGCTTATTACTTAGCTTATTTATTTTAATATTTACTTATTTATTATTTTAAGTATATTAAAGTAAGTAAACTATATCTCCTTTTTAAAGAATTAGTCCCTTAATTCTTCTTTAATTTATATATTTAATTATTCTTTATTATATAAATTTAAGCTATAATTATAATTTATTATACAGTTCTTTTATTTAGTTTATTATAATAATTACTTTTTTTATATTTTTATTTTATAATAATAATTAAAAAGCTTTTAGTTTAAATTTATAATTTATATAAAATAGTAATTTTTTTATTAATTTTACTAGTATATTATTATATAAGATTTATACTATTAGTAAGTATTTAATTTAGTTATTTTATTTAAAGTT